ATAGGGATTTCAGTGGAGCTTCTGAGTAGACATGTATAGAGCTGGGCTGTCACCATAACATGGTATAATACATTTTTTAATCCCTAAGAAAAGTTGCTGATGAATTACACTGATTTTTAGTGAAAGGGCATTTTGACTTAAATATGGAGTGAGAGGCCATTGCTGCTCTAAGAGGTCACATTTGCCTTGTGGCAAAGCATGGGAAGCAATTTGTTGATTGGCCATTGACATTAGCAGTTTGTTCATAGTCGTTCTTCGGACAAATGTCATTTTCATCTGATGGTGATCTCTTGCTATTTAGTTGATCAGGATATTTTGGGTAGAAGAATCAAAATGAGCACAAGGCAGAATAGGCGTGTTGCTGATAGCTATTGTATACCGTATATACTTGAGTATAAGCCGACCCGAATATAAGACGAGGCACTTAATTTTACCACAAAAAACGGAAAACTTATTGACTTGTGTATAAGCCTAGGGTGGGAAATGCTGACAGCGGCAAAGGCGGTGGAGGAGGAAGGAGCAGCCCAGAAAAGCTGACAGCGGCAAAGGCGGCGGAGGAGGAAGGAGCAGTCCAGAAAGGCTGCTTTCGGGCTGCTCCTTCCTCCTCCACCAACAGCAGCCTCCGGTGCTCTCAAGGGCAGGCACAGGAGCTGCACTTGGCAGAGCGGTGGTGGCACGAGTGGTGGCAGCAAACAGAAAGTGGGACCCTCACTCGTGTATAAGCTGAGGGGGCTTTTTCAGCATAAAAAATGTGCTGAAAAAGTCGGCTTATACATGTGTATATACGGTACTTAAAAGCGAGAAGAAACCTAGTAAAATAGGGTGGGTTAAAAAGTGGTGCACCTGGAGAGTAGCTTTACTTTCTAACAGGCACGTTTGCAGAGGAAGCCAGTACTACCTGTTCTACTTTACCTTGTCTATTCTTTCTGCCAACAACCTTTTTGGGCCAGTGTGCCCAAAATTTTGGAAACATGTTGGAGCTGCCAGACACAAATTGGTTGCAGTGGGGATGTAGCACAGCACAAACCTAAAAATCATGCTGGCAAACCTTCATCATCCAGCCCCATCAGTAGGGGAGGGGAAGCACCTACTCCAGCCAGCACTCTGCTTCTTTAGTAAGCTTTCTACACCTCTCCTCTGGTCAAAATGGGAGAGTGGACATCCAGTCCCTGCAGCCAGTAAAATGTCGTTATGTTTAAGAGGGTTGTTAAATGCAGGCAGCCACTGGCAGCTGGTGGCACTATGCTGGCAACCTCTTTTTTTTACAGCTAGAGGAAAGTGTAGACCTAGAGCTGAGAGAGGAAGCTTGGTTCCGGGAAAGTGTGTAATTCCTTTACAATGTGGTGGGCTCCCTTGAGTTTTTTCTTAACCAGCAGAATGGTTTTACAGATCTTTCCCCTTATGCAAATGAGTTGCAAGCTAGTAAAGACTGCCATCCAACCAGCAAGGAGAAAGCACTGCGTTGCTTCTACATGATATAAGAAGTCTTGTCAATCCATGCTTCTAAGAGGCATTAGCAATCCAGATGCATGAATGTTGTCCTGACAGCAACATTCCATCCTATCCATTTTGTATGCAGCCTGCTGCCATTTTACCTTCAAATAACTGCAGAACAAAGCAGATTTGGAAGAAATTCACACCAGTTTCTGTAGCTCCATATCTCCCTTTGCTGCCCTCCCCCATTGCTTGTTCTACCATTTCCCGTTTTCCACTTTCCAATGCAAATGCACCATTCCCAGTACTTCTTATATTTTAATATTTGCACAGCTATTCAAATAAAATATTTTTAAAGGGAAAAAGTCAACAATCTTATCAGGGCTGGTATTAAGGCTTTGGCTTTTTATATCTGGAAGGTTTTTGTTCCAGTTTTTAGCCTGTCCAGTTTAAGTCTGATGCTGCTGTTTTAAGAAGAAGAACTGGTGCATTATACTATAATCACTGGCTTGAGAGGAGTTGCTGTTTTCTCAATTTATTTGTTCTCTCTTGCTGTTGACCTTTAAGTATTAAAAAATTCAGAGTGTTGAAAAGATGACCTGTATATAAACCCAAAGTCCCAATGATGCTTAAAATTCATCCCATTTCTTTTTGAATACTGCTGCTATGAAGTGAACTCTATAAAGAAGCACTTAAATGAACAACATCAGTGTGTGTGTGTTCCCCACCCCCCAAGGTAAAATGTTAAAGCTGGCATATTAGCAGCCAACATAGACAGCAAAAGAAGAAACTAATCTACTAAATTCCAAAGACTGGGGAAATGGAGGTAGGGCAGGCTTAGTACAGAGTGATTTATAAACTGTTTTTAAAGTGAACAGAGTGTATATTGAAGGGTAAGAGGGGGGAAATTGTTGAGGGAGAGAGCAAGAAGAAAACCAGCAAGAAGCAGAAATGAGTAGCAGTGTTTGTCTCCCAGGGATCACAGTTTAGTTCAGCACAACAATATTTCTACCAGGGACTAAGTGTATGAAGGTAGAAATTAGCAGAATACTGTGTTACTGGAGCAGAATATATATAGCAGGCACGTCCAACTCCCTAGAGACTATACAACAACTGGCAGTGATCTACCCATTGTCATGGGGCAGGGAAGACTTGGAGTTGTTGAGCTTTTCCAACCAGCGATTGATAGGGAGCCCGCAATCAACCGCAACAGTCCGGCGATCGACCTGTCGATCATGATCAACCTGTCGGACATTGATGGTATATAGCATTTTTGAGTGTTCAAAACACATTGCCTCAGTAGTCCGTATATTCACTGTTTTTTCATGTTGTAATACAGACCACAGTTGTCATATTCTTCCTTGCTATGTTTAATCATAATTTGGATGAAGGAGTGGAGGGAATCCTTACCAAATTTGCAGATGCCACAAAATTGGGATAGATCTTTGAGTTGATTTCAAATAAGGTGCAACTGCGGATTCTTATTTCAACAAAGCAGTAACTTTCTTCAGATCTTAGATTCTGACATCTTACTCTTTAAATATTCTGTGTTTGCATATGCTTTACATGGGGCTGCTTTTAAAAAATTGTTGGAAAAGAACAGCAGCAAGGCTCTTTGACAACCCCAAGTAGTGAATTTTCATCTCCAATACACTGGCTCTCAGTTTGCTTTTGAGCCATGATACAAACTGTTTTTTTTCCACCTTAACTCTCTTAAGTGACTTACTGCTAGCATCCGTCTGTCTTGGGAGAGAATGGAGGAGTGTGCCTTGGGGGGGGAGGTCAATCAAGCTGTTTGCAGAGACATCTTTGCAGAGACTGATGTGGGAGAGACATGTTTTGTTGCAGCTGGGACAGATGAAGGCATCCAGTTGTGCTGTTGCAGAATGACTTAGGAGCAGAATATCTGAAGGACTGCCCAATTATTAAGATCATAATTAGAAGCATTCAGAAGTTGGTACTATGAGGAGTAGGGCCTCCTCAGTGATGGTACCTTAGTTCTGAAACTCTCTCGCCATATCACTTCAGCTGGCCTTTAGGCACCAGTAAAACAATATTGCTTTCCAGGATTTTTGAAATAGCTTTTAGGCTGATTTGAAGTGTCTCTCATTGATGTGACAGTATTCTAGCAGCTCTTGAGGAGTCTGGAAAAAATGCTGTTGTATTTGCTTCATTCTTGGTGGTTGTTAGTTGTGTTTAAACTTCAGTTATAAGCACAAATGAAAATGCTGGTTGAATGGTAAGTACTGTAATATTTTAAATACATGTAACCTACAGGGGGGAAAATATTATATTGTGCGACATGTACCTGAGTTGAGATTTGAGGAGCAATCTCCTATGACAAAAGTACAAAACACTACTCTGTTGTAATTGTAGCAGTTTACTCTGTGAAGGTCTCAATGCTTCTGCTGCTCCAGAGGTCAAGGTCCAAAGCAATGGATTCAAGTTACAAGAAAGGAGATTCTGACTAAACAATTAGAAAGAACTTTCTGACAGTAAGAGCTGTTTGACTGTGGATTTGACTTCCTCAGATGGTGGTGAACTCCCCTTATAGGAGATTTTTAAGTAGAGGTTAGATGGCCATCTGCCACAGTTGTTTTAACTGTGATTACTGCATTGCATAGGGATGTGGGTGGCGCTGTGGGTTAGACCACAGAGCCTAGGACTTGCCGATCAGAAGGTTGGCGGTTTGAATCCCCACAACGGGGTGAGCTCCTGTTGCTCGGTCCCTGCTCCTGCCAACCTACCAGTTCAAAAGCACGTCAAAGTGCAAGTAGATAAATAGGTACCACTCCAGCGGGAAGGTAAACAGTGTTTCCGTGCGCTGCTCTGGTTCACCAGAAGTGGCTTAGTCATGACCCAGAAGCTGTACGCCAGCTCCCTCGGTCAATAAAGCGAAATGAGTGCCGCAACCCCAGAGTCGGCCACGACAGGACCTAATGGTCAGGGGTCCCTTTACCTTTACTGCATTGCATGGGGTTGGATTAGATGACCCTTTGCATCCCTTCCAATGGTTCTACAGCTCTATGATTCTATTATTCCGAATACTGTTCAGTGCAGGTAAATTCTAAATTCTCTTAGTTTATAATTAAATTGCTCTGAATAACTCTTCTCCTTCTCCTTCTCCCGCCACACACAAATGTTTTAAAGTGCCATTGTTATACTGTGTAAATAGCATTTCTATTATTCCGAATACTGTTCAGTGCAGGTAAATTCTAAATTCTCTTAGTTTATCATTCTCTTAGTTTATAATTAAATTATAATTATAAATAATTAAATTGCTCTGAATAACTCTTCTCCCGCCACACACAAATGTTTAAAAGTGCCATTGTTATACTGTGTAAATAGCATTTCTGTTTGTTTGACATCTTCATCCTTCCCCAAATAATTTGGATGAAGGAGGACCTGGTAAGTGGTTGTATCCCAATATCTCCTAGCATGAAAAGCAAAAGCTTTCCCCAATATTACAAACATAATTAAAAACAAACAAACAAGCATGATTGCTAAATGAACAGGTTTGCCCAACCCCATTTCCAAACAGAGAGGTAGCAATGATAGGCTCCCAAGATCAATTCTTAAGGGACACACACACAAAGCGATGATATCTAGTCAAGGCTCAGGTAGTGTACAAGGCGTGTACCTAAGAGATGCTGTGGCTTGATAGATGGACAGGCAGAGAGATCAATCTGCTTTTGCTCTCCACAAGACATGAATACCATCATTGTCCTTGCATCAGGGGAACATTAGTTTGAAGGGCTTTCCAAAGGTAAAATGTTTTCCTCGTATCAAGCTGCTTGCTTATTTAAGAGACAATTCAGGCATATCAACAGCACACCATGCTAACTCCAGGACCGGGGGCGGGGCTTAAGCAAGTCACTCTGCATGGAACCCTTCCATGCCTCAGTAAGTCTACCTGTTCACTACAGAAGCTCCAAGTTGTCTTGTAAATGGGCCTCCTCCATTATTCACATAATTACCACCAGCCAATTAAAAGGGGGGTTATGAAAACGACTCTCCTTGAAATGTGATGTCTGAGGCAGGGTGAAGCCAAAGCTACTTTAACATAGAGGTGGGGAAGCTAAAGCCCTCCACAGGTTGTTAGATTGCAGCTCCCATCACCCCAGGCCAATGGCTTTGCTGACTGGGATGTATGGGAGTTGGAGCCTAACAACCTCTGAAGGGTGATAGATTGGCCACCCCTACTTTAGCATTTTTGAAGCACCCTTTTCTCAATAATCTTTATAACAGCTTGACATAATTTGCCCTTCACCATAGACATTTGCTGAGACTGGCTTTTCAAAGGTCACCTAGTGAATTTATGCCAAGGTGTTGAACTAAGGATCACCTGGTCTGTTTGCTTGTTTTTAGGATAAACACTGTAGCCTTAGCCACTAGACTATTCCAGTTCTGATTATGCAGAAAGCTTGCTGTGCGGCAAGAAGCAAACCACAAGCTGTCCGCTATAATAAAACTTCCACTGGAGAGATCACAAAGAGCTGGTTTTCCTTTAGACAATTTCACATGCCAGGAAAATCCGTTCTAGTTAGCCTAACAAGAGGGCATCTTGAGGACAATCTGGAAAAGCAGCTCCAAGTATGCAGAATTGGTGTAATATACATGTGTAAACTAGCAAAAGCAATGCCAGTATTGATCGTCCTTCCACAAGAGTGTAGTTAGGTTGCATGCAGTGATTAGTCATCACTTCCACTAACTTTGAAAACCCCCAGAATGCCTCCCTGTCATGTACAGTATGAGTTCCTGCAGCCAGCTATAGTAAATCAAGCCTCATAAGGCATGCAAGATGCTTTTTTAAACTGCTGACACCGGAGAATGACCCCACCTGCTGGATTACAGCAATAATGTGCATATTTGGACCCCACAAGGAGATCAAGGTAGCAGACATAGAAGATACTTTACTGGGTCCTAGCAACAATCTAGTATTGTACTCTAGGCTGAGAGATAGTATCCAGCTCAAGACAACTCTTAGTAGCCTCATAGCTGACCAGGAGTTTCATCTAGGGTGGCCACATTATCAAAACAGAGGAGCCGCATCACTAAAAGGAAGGCATATATTTGCACAAACGTATTTGCACCTAGTTTGAGCAGGTGATCTGTATGCTTCCTCAGTCTCCTGCCCAGATGCTTATGATTGATGGGCAACTTCAAGGTCACTGCTATCCCTTCTTATGTTTAAGCAGCACTGGACATGACAGCCCTTGAAATAGAAAACTCTCCTTTATAAAGTGGAACATGTGGACACCCTAATTTCAGCCTGGGCTCCTCAAACCAAGTCCAACCCTTCTGCCATTGTACCAACAGACTTAAAACAGCAGCTCAAAAGATTGGACAAGCAGCTAGATGAGAACTTCCAAAATGAGGGAGTGGTAGAATTACTGTAACAGATTTCCAATGAGTGCTTTCAAATCTCCATCAGTAGAGATGTTTAAAAGTATGACAGACAGGCATTTTATTGGATTACTTGGGGTTGCTTCAGTGCCTGAAGAAGGTCTGAAAATTAGACCCCTTACAATCATGTTTGGTTTTCTATACAAAGGTGATGAAGTACATCTCTGCTGATGAGGCATAGTCCTCTAGCAAGGATAGCTTGGTGTAAGTTCCTTCATCTAGCAAGGGGCTGGACTTTATGAGGCCCCTTCCGAGTTTATCTTTATATGTAGGAAAGTATGGGGGTGAGTGTCCTTAAAAGGCTACAAATGAAAAGGAGCATTCATTCATGGTGCAAAACACATCTAGACAGAAATGTCATATTTAACGGCAGAGGCTGAGAAAACTGTCCTTGAAGGCATCAGCCTAGTGTGGCAGCAGGACAAAAGGCAAATATGATTATAGGTTCATCAGAGGAAGCAGGGAATACAAATCCTCAGAAATTATGTTGTTGTTATTCAAGGCACAGAGTTTAGACTTTATCTAGTAGACAGGCTTCAGGTTTGCTCAACTATTCATAGATAGACTATTGCTGGCTTGGAGCCATTGTGGCACACAGCAAAATGTTCTCTTGTGCGTGTGTGTATTTTTAAAAAAGGAGACTGCTAAAGAAGCAAAGTTTATCACTGATCAGTAAAAGCAATTTAGCAATATGTAACAAGGATTCTTTTTTAAAGGCAGGAACAGATAAAGAGTAGAAAACTGTTGGCAGTGGTAGGTGTTTAGAGAAGGCAAGTAACCCAGGCAGAGACATATTTTTGGATAATTAGGAAATAAAGAGTAACACAGAGAAATCAGGCAGAACTATTTTGCTCTAGTATCAGTAAACATGCAAAATAGCTCATTTGGTACATGTGACAAAAGCAGTGAGGTAAACAAATTAAAAGTTAGATAAGTTTATGTAAAAAAAGAAGAAAACATCTCATTGCAATCTAATCATGAGTACAACTTGAGAAGCCAGTGCTAATGAGCTGAGATTTAAAAAAGTCAAGGTTCTTCTCCTGATTTTTATTTTTATACCATAAAACCACATTGTCAATGACTGCAGATACATTGGAGCTCTGCTGTTCTGTTATCCTGTTACTACATTTAGAAGGCTAATTTTACTACCTGCCCACATGTGCGATAATTTCTACAGTCATTATTTAGAGTGGTACCTCAGGAATGCTTGTTTCTGAAGGTGTATATTGGGTGTAGGAGGGAGAGTCTCTACACTGAAGGGAGTTGGAGTCAATCTACTTGAGGGCACCAGGTTGAGTAAAGTTGATGTAGTCAAGGTATCTTCAACCTTTCAGAACTTTTAACCCAAACATGCATTTGAGGACCCACTTCTTAATCATTTATGATCTATTTGCATGGTGGTAGTGCTCATGTTGTGACCCACTCGTGGGTCCTGACCTGCTGGCTGAAGATGAGTGAACTGTAGCCCATACCATCTAAAAGCAAGGTCCACTTTGTAATGGGTCATGGTGATGCGCTAAATTGGATAAGGTACCCTAATCACCCAAGACTTTTGCAGAAGGGTGTGCAAAGTATCTCTTACAGGGTGTTATTCTAACCATGTCTTCTCAGAAATAAGCCTTGTTGAATTCAGTGGGGCTTACACCCAGGTTAGTGGGGTTATGACTGCAGCCTTAGTTGTTTTTGGAAACCCAGCATCCCACATCCAAACAAAAAAAGAGTGCCACTATACCTATATTGCAGCTGCTCACACATACAAAATATAGACAAATTCCCTAAATACAGAATTAAGGAATTCTAGGTTCTTTTCAGCCACAGCTGCCGTCTGTCTCTCTGTGGAAGTGTGTGAACTTGAATCTGTTGTTTACATACTTCCATATCCTTTGTTGGAACAGAAATGAGATGCTCTTGTCCCTTCCAGAGTTGTTAAATCAGTTTTAACTCACTTGAACTTCTGATTTATCCTGTCCAGGACTTGTTATCTCTGCCTACCTGATTCTGTTAAGATGTGTTCATGATGTGCTAGAATTGGGGATCATGGGCATCTGTAGTGACAGAAGTGCTTTTAAGGCAAGGAAATATCCCTAAATACAGGTTTGAATAAGCTGCCCCTTGGTAACCCTTTTTTTTGTGTGTGTTTGCTACTTAACGATATTTTGTTTGCATTGAGTCATATAAGGAGGACCTGCATACTGGCTGAATATATTATTTTAATTTCAGCAGGTTTTGGATCAAGTCTGCATTATTAAATGTGTCAAGCAGGCACAGTAATGCGGTGATGCCTGTCCCAGATATGTCACCAACAATGTAACACACATAATACGAATTGTGTTCTTTCTTCAAAGTGCTCTGCTAATGCTAAACTTGATCCTCAGTGCATTAAACATGTAAGGGAGCCTGCTAATTTCAGTCTGACTGCTCAGTTGAGGGTTTGGTATATCTAAAAATGAACACTCACCATTATCATGTTCAGACAGGATATTCCAGCAGCCTAATTTTCCTCACATTGGTTGTGAGCTTTTGGGATGATTTTGTTGCAACATTTTCCCTTCCAAACAATATTTTTGGAAGCAGACATGTGACAAATGCTTTGCTGAGAAGCTTAATCTACCTAGATTCTGCCCTGTGACATAATACATTGTTCTCCTCCAGATGTTCCTTCATGGAGTAAAAATGTTACATCAAAATTGGAGCTGTGGAGTATGGTCTTAACCTTCCTTCCTTCCTTCCTTCCTTCCTTCCTTCCTTCTCTTTCTTCTCTTTCTTTCTTTCTTTCTTTCTTTAACAGCTTAATTTTTTTTAACAGAATCTAAGCAGTGTTCAACAGTAGCAATCAACATAAAACCACCAAAACAATATCCTAAAAACAGAGATAAAAATGCCATTGGTACACATCAAAATATAAGCTTCATGTATGACAGAGCAAAGGGCATTACAAAATGTAACAATTTCAACAGTGTTGGTCCTATTAACCACAGTTTACTGGATCAAGATCAAGCCTGGTGCCAAAAAGTCCCTGCTCCAACCTTCCTCCACTTACCTCTCTTGCACCTTTATTGCAGAATTTGAGGGGTTTGTTAGACCACAGTTTCCTGTTTTGTGCATTTTAAACTCTGACTGCACTCCAGTACTGGAGGCCATGGTTTTATCTTTGTTTGGAACCTAGATTAGTTATGTCTCATCCAGGTCAGTGTGGTGTTGTTGACTAAATGACAGAACTTGGGAAAAGGAATACCTGAGTTTGAACCTCAGCTCAGCCAGGAAGTTTATAAGGTGGTTTTGGGAAGCTACTAACTTTTATTTTTTATTTTTTTGGTCTTCCTATCACACATATAATGGGATATAATACTGAGTTCCTTACGGGAAGTGATGGAGTCTAAATAAATTATCCTTTTGCATGTTTCTTTAGCAGAATTAAAAAGGGAACAGCAATATAGAGCACGTACATCCAGTCCTGTTGAGTATCAGACCTTTGGTGTTTCAGCTTTGTCACAGAGTGGGACTGGATGCTTGTCTGAGGTGGTCTGTCGCAGAGCAGACATTTCTATCAGCAGCAGAAAGCCTTATGAGGATATGTTTCAAAATAATAAGAATAATGACAAAAAAGAGGTAAGAGGATATTCATCACTCTAAGAGCCCATTCAAAGGCAACGTCAGCCTTGTAATTCAAGACAGCTTCAAAGCTGGATACCTGGGGGGGGGGGGAATATGAGCAAAGGAGTGCACAGTCAGTGTGTCTGGCATTTTTTGGTCTTTGCTTGGTTCGTTTTCTGCCTGTCACTCAGACGTACAGTTCATACTTTTGTGCTTTATACAAAAGGACATGTCTTTGGCTGATGTAAGTACACTGGTTTTTAAACCAATGGAATTTATTTTTTATTGTTTTATGATGGTTTATGTTTTGCCTTCATGCATTTATGTCCTTGTTGTTGTACACAAGCCTGGAATTCATTTGGGCAAAGACCAGTTTAGACATTTAAAAACTAAAAACTATATATTTTTTTTAATTGCAAAAAGGAAAAACAAGTTTAAATCAATGAGGTGTTCAAAATCAAGTATCCCATTTAAGATATTTTCTAAAGAAAAGGAAACACAAACAGCATATTATTTCTTAAGGGAGGAGTTATAGCCTAGTAGTAGAATACCCATACAGAAGTTCTCTGGAATTGCCAGTTGGAGCTCAGAAAGATTCCCTGTCTGAAACCATGGACTGCCACTGCCAGCCATTGTTAACAGTACTGATCTAGATGAACCAGATTCCTATCTTCTGTTGTTGCTAGTCAACCTTTAAATCACAGCTATATAGCTGTACAGTATAAGGATGATGTGCAAGCTGGTTTATTTGAGGACAAGTTCAGTTCTCCTCCACCACCCCTTTGCCTATGTAATTTCCACAGTTCCTCACTTCTTCTAGTTATTTGAGAACTAAACAAATTGAAAAACTCAGATAGGTAAACATAAACTTTGAGAACAAGAGTACCTAGGGGAGATTGGTAGATGACCCTAATGGCATCTTCTGGAGCCAGGATCTAGTTTCAAAAATCCAGATCAATTGGAGGTTTTTTGCACCTGCGTTAGATTGTTGTATATGAGAATGTACCAAGAAATTGGTAGAGGCCAATACATTTTAATACAACAATCACGGATCTAATAAGAAAATCCGTCTCTATTCCTTCAGGGAAAGATTAAGATAAAACAACTGTTGTGTTCTGGTACTGTGTTTGATGCAAAGAAAATAGTAAATAAGCATCTTCCCATCTGGTTAAACAACAACAGCCTTAATTTGATTATAGACAGTGAGCTCATGTTTTTACTTAAGCTATTGGTTTGCTAGGGGCGTACTGATAATTCAGAAAATACAACAGCAACAGCAATGTTGCTGTAAATTAAAGGGCTTGATCATATCAATCCATTTTATCTACAGTGCCACAAATAGTTTATTTCATTGCTTTAATTCAGGTATCAGGAACCTCAGGCCCAGAGGCCAAATGCAGCTCCTCAGACTCCTCCTTGTGTCCTTTGGAACTCTACACAGGCCACACCCACTCTCCTCAGGCCACACTCCTCACAAGCCAGCTTTGCACCCTGCTTGATTTTTCCTGACTGGAATGTGCCCTTGAGCTTTGCTAACATCTCTGGCTTGTCTAGAAGGACAATAGAGAGGATTTTGCAGGTGTGTGTAGAAACTAGTATCCATTGCTTTGCACATATTCCCCTCTGGCCTCAACTGCCACTGGCTGGCCCTTAGAAGGCTACCCAGAAGAGAATATGGCTCTTGGGCTGATTCCCTATGTGCTATGAAGGAGAACCTGTATTTTGTGTGGGGTGTTTCCTCTAATGCCCATAGTGAAGGTAGAAACCTAGGCAGAGGTGAAAGACCATCAGTCTACTTGTTCTCCTCTATGAACTGGAAGCGGTAGTGGTGGAAGCCATGAGAAATCTGTCCTGAGAGTTTTGATCTGGCTGAGGATAAATTGGAGTCCTCAAAGATGGAGTTGGACTTTGGCTGTAAAAGAGATACCACCAATAAAAAAAGGTATTGCTCGGCCTCTACTGTCAGAGGAGTCCAGAAATTGCTAGTGGGGAGAGTACCATTACACTCAGCTCCTGCTTGTGAGATTCCCATAAGCAGCTGGCTGGCCATTGTGAGAATCAGTTGCTGGACTAGATGGATGCTGGTCTGATTCAGCCGGGCTGTTCTAATATGCTTCCTACCTGAGCTTTTTGCTAGCAACTCATGGCCTTATAAAACATTGCTTGTGAGTGTCAGTAATCACCCAAGTTCAGCTTCCCTTTTAGATGTATGTGTTTCTGATTCCAGTGTAGGACGGAGAGTTTGATGTCCCACTCCCAGAGGAGATGTCCCCACCCCAGTCTTAATCCAAATGATCAGCACTACAAAAGACTGCTGTTGAGAGGACATATTTGTTCCTGATTTTAAAACAGCTGCATCAAATAAGAATGTCCTATGAGTAAATACATTGTGCATAATCAGATATCAAGAGATGTATATAAAGAATAAGTCTCCTGCATATAGGAGATGATAACAGTAATAGCCGGCAATACTTCCCTAGCCACAAACACAACTATTGATCAAGTGGGTTAGAAGCAGATGATGAGACTTGAAGCCACAACCTCACAAAAATGATTCTCGGTGTCTGGAAGGACACTGGAAATAAATTGTTATTGGACACAATCAGTCTAACAAATCAATATTATGGCAAGAACCAGGAATTTGAAAACATCTGTATGTCCACTTGGGAGTCCTTTCCAAATGCTCCATCTTGGATTGAGTTCTTTTGTACTAGGCTCAGCTGCATGCAGGGCTTCCACCGATAGATCATAATATGAAAACAACGCTTCGTTTTGCTTATTTCAGCTACATGAGGTTAACATTTTTTGGGGGGTGGGGAACCTGTGTCAGGCATCTGGTTTAACTTTAAAAAGTGCATGAGTAACGCCTTATTTATTCAACCCTTAATAGAAGGAAGCCCAACTTCAGCTCATAACATTGCAGCTGGCATGCCCTAAGGGAGGCACAAAAGTGTTCTTAAAAACTTATTTTACATCACTTTCAATGAATTCTGATCATAGACAACCCCTAATTATGCTGCATATAAAACAGGGGCGCAATGTCTTTCTCTATAAAGATTTCACTTGTGTCTCTAGATGACTGCCCTTACCATGGGGAGAATTATATGGACAGTTTTATAAGTTATGAATCCAAGGGTAACCTTGTGCACTTTTCAAAAAAGATGCACATTATACAAGACTTAAATATTTTAAACTCTTTTTGAAATATTTATTTATTTCATAGAATATATACACTGCTTGATTGTAAATACAACAACCATCTCAGGGCAGTTGACAAAAGGACAAAACAATAAAATCATGAACAAAATTGCAGCCCTACTTTAAAACATACAAAAGTTAAAATTCGAAAATGACCTCAACTTTCTAAGCATCTGCGTAGGCTTGTCTAAACAATAATGTTTTTAGTAGGTACTGAAAAGAGTGCGATGAAGGCACCTATTCAATGGTGTGCGGTGTAATTTTTCATAGGGGAACAGTTAGGGCCAGCTTGTGAGGGCAATTGGTGGGCTGGGGGAGTTGTGCGCATGAACATCACAACTCCCTCCCTAAGCCAGGCAGAAGCTTCCCAGGCTATGGGAAGGAGGCACCAGGGGAACATTTAGGGGACTAGCCTTTCATCCTAGTCCATTGATTGCATGCTGCTACACCTATTTGATTTTTATCTGTTCATTCTATTGCTTGTTATGAATTTCACTATGACCAAAGGTGTTCTGCCTTGCACCCTGAGCATCTGAAGGAGAACTCTGATTTGTCCCATCAAAGCTGCTCCCTGCTCCCTGGATACCTGTATGTTTTTCCCAGTAGGGTGAATAGCATTTTGGGAGTATTTAACCCAGATAAATGGCTTAATACTTCCCCAATACTTTGCTCCCAATCTGATTCAGGGTTAATGTTTTTGTTTTTATCGGAGAGAAGTGGGCAGGGTGTTCATACACACTAAATTAGGAAGAAATCCGTTTTATGCATTTTGTTTTCAGCCTTCTAATGTGCATTATACTGCTAATTTCATTTGTGTGTGTACTGCACAAATGTGTCAAAATAATGTGGAGGTGAAAATAGCATTCCCCCTGGTAGCTTTTTTTATTGTAAACGCTGAATGTGAAAGTGTGGTTCACCAGATTGCATTATCCATCTGTTACACAAGAAAGCTTAGTGCTTCCTGGGTTTCTTTGAGTTATTTACTTTAATATTCTTCCTTTTATAGAGAAGATTATCTCAAAAACTGGATTGTCCATACTAGATGGACTTTATTATTTAATCCTATTCTTGATATCTCTTTCTAATTCTATCCTCCCCCCCTCTTCTCTTAAATGAAATATTGCCTTTTCTGATGTGCTTACATAAAAATACCCCGGATTTCACTTCTTATGTTTATAATACTGCCTTGAGCACAGTGCCTTTCCTTGCTGCATATTATTGAGAAATAACTCATCCAGGAATCTCTGGCTGACCTAATCCCTTCTATCTTGGCTTCTGTCTCCTACTCTGGTGAAGTCTGGACCATTTAAATAGTCATATATTATTCTACTTTGGGGAGAAGTACAGGGCAGTTCAATGATGACCCTTTTCTTCACTTAAGTGGATTTGGATCTAACCTATTAATTAGAAGGAGATATTGATGGTCCCTTCAGTACAGGAGGTCTCCCCAGTAAATGCTAGCAGTAGAACTTTATGGACTGTAGAACAAGTAGCACTTCCATGATGACTTACCTACTATGAAAGCAACTCTTAATGTTGCAGTCATTCAATGATGGTCATGCATAGACTGTTTCAGACTTTCAGTCCAGGGTGATTGGATGCATTTAGAAGGGGAATTGATGGACCCAATCCTCATCTGTACAATTTAAGTTGAATATTGGAACAGTACTTACCACCATACATTGTCAGAATCCCAGCTTTTTCAAGATTCCTTATATCTTGGGACTCAGCTAGACTGGTAAAGAAAAAGTGATTTATATGTGTTGTATGTGTGCCACCAGATGGCGATGGGGAGCCCCATTTTCCTATACCTGTTTTCCCTGTTTAAATTTACAGCGCTTTAAACTGAAATGTTTCTTTGATGTGTCCAGATCCAGCCTTGGAAAACCTTTCAATTGAACATGCATAGATAAGTGGTCAGGAAAGCGATCCTCTTTTGTGGCAGTTTTTCTCTCTCTGAAAAGAGCTGTTGTTTGAGTTCATCTTAAGAGGCAGGCAGGAAGGCTCTCCTTTACATGCTGAATTAGATTGTGGGCTTATTTTTAATTTTTAAAAAGTATGTGTGCTGCAAAATACAGATTGAAGTGTGCGCCCCTGGGATGTCTGGGCTACACATTCAGAGAGGTCAATAAACAAAAATACCGTATTTTTTGCTCTATAAGACTCACTTTTTCCCTCCTAAAAAGTAAGGGGAAATGTGTGTGCGTCTTATGGAGTGAATGCAGGCTGTGCAGCTATCCCAGAAGCCAGAACAGCAAGAGGGATTGCTGCTTTCACTGCGCAGCGATCCCTCTTGGTGTTCTGGCTTCTGAGATTCAGAATTTTTTTTTCTTGTTTTCCTCCACCAAAAACTAGCTGCGTCTTGTGGTCTGGTGCGTCTTATAGAGCGAAAAATACGGTAATATGTAAATGACTAATGCTGGCTTTATAATACACTCTCAGAAAAAGAAAAAGAAAACCTTTCTCTTTGTCTGCATGAAATGGTCCATCTGTGCATTTGGAAAACAAGGGCAAAAGCTAGAGCATATTCCCAAACTGTGTTGTGGCAAAAGAACTGCTATCATACTGGAATTTAATCAACTAAGGATCCTGTGTACCCAAAGTGGTTGCTCACACAGGAGGTTGACTGATGCTTCTGTTCTTGATTCACTGGTCTGGACTTGGTTCCAGTCCAAGCTCAAGTTTACCTCCAGTAGGGTTGGATAATTCTGTCTTGTCTTTGGATAGGTGGAAGAATTTATATCAGAAATATTGGGTATATAGGTTCCTTTTACACACTAGGTAAAAGCCTTGACAGTTTGACTTATCAGAAACTTGGGAAACACTTCTTCTAGAAGTCCTTGCTTTCTTTTGTCTTCGTTTCCTTTTGTCTCTGTCCTTTCATATTCATTTGTCTCTGCTCAGTCACTGATGCAAAGACAATGAAATATCTTCATCCCTTAGCAAATCACTTTGTAAATTAGAGTAAAACATTCCTGGGAGTGTTTTCCTAAGTCTCCTTTCCAAGCTAAGAGAGAATTAAACACCCACTGATTGACCAACAAGCCTCTGCTTTCCTGCCTTCCTTATCTGTCCTCCCCCTTTCCTTTACCTCCCTTTCCCATCCTCAGTAACTCTACTTCTCTGGCCCAGATCAATGTCAGTAGTTAAATGGATCAGTTATTTGAAAGCTGTCTGTTGACCTTTCTGCCGTGATTGATTGCACGAGAGTGCACAGGAGTGAGGATTCCAGGCAAGGAGAGCAGTCACCGCTGCCTGCTTTCCCCTCGCCACTCCCAGAAGGCTGCTACAGTTTCCCACAGAGGAATAAGCTGCATGCGCAGATGCAGGACCAGAGAGTGCTCTCAAGTAACCATAATGAAGCCGAGAGCCCGCATCTAGTCTTCCTCGGTGGCTTAGAGGAATTATTTATGAAGAGGAGTTGAGAGCTGAGTGGTTTACTGGCCTTTGACACACTTCCTGGCCTGAGGTTTGGAATCAGAAAGTCACAGGAGCCCTGTTTGACAGCTGCCCTAGGGTGTTGCCCTGCACACTACCAAAATAGAAGGCACAGTGACAGGAGGCAGAATCACAGAGATGTTTTGTGTCTCTGTTCCCCCTCATCCAGCCCAGTAATTTGCTTTTTAATGTACCATTCTCTCCTTTTTGGCATTGTTAAAGCACACAAATAACCCACATAACAAAGTGTGCGGAATAGTCCTTCAAGAACTCTGTCCCCTGTTGTGTTTTCTTTCTGGAAGTAATTTTGCCAGGGCCTTTAATTTGCTTTTAAATCTCCTGCAACCTGTTCCATGGAAGAAAGGGGCTTTGACCTTTTTAGCAATCTGTTTTATTTAGTTGTTGAGGATTCTCTGTTAGCATTACGGATAAGAATACCACCCACTATTCTTAACTTTTGTAATATACAGTTGGATAATTCAGCGAATGCCATCCTCCCTGTGCATAGCCGAGGAATACAAATTACCTTTAGAGTAGAAAACAAGAAGCAAGTTGTGCGTGATTATTTTGTTTTTCATCTTTTTAAAGTCACTTGAGATGGCTGTAATTCACTGCATGGTCACAATTTCCAATCACTTACTTAATAAACATGTAACACCACTAGAGTATTCCAGGGCACGTCACGGCAAGGTTCCTGAGCTGAATCCATATTTTGCAATCCAGTGATACAAAGCAAATAATGAAAAGTTCATTGGGTTGCTGGTTTGTTTCAGATTATCAGAGAAGAACAAAGTTCAGGTGTTTATGCATATTTGACAGAACTTGGAAGGAACTTTAGACTAGTTCACCTTCCCCAACCTGGTACTCTCAAAGATATTTTAGTTTTCAATTTTCATCAGTCCCAGCCAGGAGGGTCAGAGGCAGTAATGCTTCTGAATTCCTGTTGCTGGAAGCCACATGACATGTTTCCCACAGACATCTCCCCATTCTAAATCTTCTCTAAAGGGTTGGGAAACCATCCAGAGCAGATTTAGGAGGGTGCTGGAGGAAATGGCCCAAAAATGATTTCCCTTCCCATTTCACTTACAAAAACCTTACTGTCAGCTGAGTTGGTTGCACTGTTGGGTGCAGCCCATAAATTTGGAAAAATACGCAGTTCGACAAAGACCACGTAAATGTTTGCTTCTTTTAAATTATTTAAAGGGTTTCTTTTGAACAATGCCATTTTTAAGATGATTTTAAGATGTTTTATTTAGTAGTTGTAGCTAAGTACTATTAATGTTATTTGATATTAGATTAGGCTATGCTTTTTCTGTGTTCCTGTTTTTGTGATCTTGTGTTACAGGAAAAAGCTGCAATTCTCAGACCTTTGCAGATGGACAGAACCATGAGCATTTTCAAAGAAACCTTTTTATTTTGAATCATTGATGGAAAATACAAAGCAATAATTTATAGGTTTTTTTAAAAAAAGATATTTAATGTAAAAGTTTGGGTTTTTTTTTAATGTTCATGGCTGTATCCATCTGCAGAGCCCTGAAAATCTCAGCTTTTCCTTCTCTTTATGACCAAATTTCTAATTCTTGGTTTTGAAGAAAAATTTGGGGCAGGTTTCTCTGAGATCTTACAAACTGGGCAGGTTTCACACATCCCTCTCCAGACGGTTTAGAACTTTCTGTATATTCCCAATACCTTCTTCTCATTGGGTCTACAGAAAATGATATGGATTCTAGTTCCAAATGGCCCCTGATTTCACTGATGCATGTGAAGACTGTTGCACAAGGACTAATCACTTGTTCCAATTTATATACCTAGGATAGAAGAAGAAAAAACAGGGTATTTTTTTTGTTCAAGTTTGAATCGCTAATTTGTAATACAAGTTTGCTTTTGCTTTTTAGAAAACTACACAGAAAATCTTTTTAGCCTTTTAACAATGTGGAAAGTGACAGACTGACAAGAGTTGAAAGGGAATACCTAAAGTGACACCATCTGTTTTAGTCCCATTGGCTCAATGGCACTTACATACTACTAAATGAAGAAGAGTTGAACATGTAATGTTTTATATGTTAGTGGCATAACTCACCAGCAAATCATAGCATGTACCTCCAGAATATACCATAAGAACATTCATTATAGGGAGTAATAGTTTCTTGGGATTTAAAAAAGGATGCTAGTTTCTATGCAATAAGAAAGACAAGGCGTTCTAAGTCCTTACTCATAAGGGAGTGCTGTTATAGTTTAGGAACCTATTATAGGCTAGGAACTTGGAAAATGAGCAACTTATTATATTGGCCAGTTGGATCACGAAGGCCTCATTCAAAACACACAAGGAGGTGTGCATGAAAAGGACCATAAACAAAATAACAACAGGTCCCTACCTTGAGGAAATCACAATTTAGGAGGAGGAAACTTGAGGAGGAATCACAAGTGCACCAAAGGAAAGCCATGCTTTCTGCAATTCCTACATGGGATTTCACTGCAAAGTTATCCACAAAAATGCATCTATGAAGAGAGATTTTGTGGCTCTCAGAGAGAGAGAGAGAGAGAGAGAGAGAGAGAGCGCGCTAGCTGATTGTAGCTATACATCTTATTAGTCCTTCTTGGATTGAGGCTATTCTGTTCTAAAATCTTTTATATGGGGTAATGAATGCCGCTCTTTGCTTATCTGAGTAAACTGTTGGTGCTGGTGAACAATGCTTCAGAGCTATTTGTCTGTTCTGTGCGATAGACTAATTTGTCCAATAAAATCCCAAGGAAAAAGCACGATGGAGTGGATAAAAAAGGGCAAAAGGACTCATTGACTCATCCATTTCCAAAACTATCTGTGTTTAATGGTAAGGGATCAATTAAGGATGTACACTGGTAGATTAACATTTGATTGGGTAGGGATTTGGAGAAAGAGAAACAATGGCCAAGTGTTCTTTTGTTCTTTTTTGGTGCTGTAGAATAGCTGGAAACAGTGGAAAGAGCAAGTTTCTCTCGGTTATCCTTAGCCCCAGCCTCAGATCACTGTCTTAATAGTTTCTACTGCAGGTTAACTTACCTGCATCTGTAACAAAAATACACTGTAATAAAAGTTGTGGTATAACTGGACTCTGAACTGAAAACCTTTCACAATAAATTTGTGCATTCCACAACAGTCCCAGAATTAAATGAAGAGGTATTATAGCTAATATGTGGGGAAATAGTGCTGACTTCTCAGACAAAGGCATGGTTAACATATAGCGCATAGCAAAGCCATGGCTAAGCATGAATGTGCAAACAACCTTAGCAGTAATCACGGCCACTTCACTTCTCCAGCCCTTCTGGCTTCCATGCTACCATGGTTTGGCTCAGCATTGTGTCAGACTCTAGGCTCATGGTTTGGCTTGCTGCTGACAAACCATGACCAAGAGTTTGCTCTTGGCTCACAGGCCTAGATTTGGATTTAATGTTAAGCGAAATCAAGGCTTAGTGCCAGGACACAGGAGTGAAGCGCCTGTGATTTCCACTGTGTTCACCTGCTCACTTGTCCACTCCCACTCAGCCATAGTTTGACTTAGTGTTACATGTGGTCATTGTTGGTTAGAAGACAAAAGCCATCAAACACTGGGCTGTTGTTTTACACTACTGAGGGAATGGATGTAAAGTAATTAGATAATTATGATAAGACAGGCTAAGGAATAATAAAATGGTTGCTACTAATTCGATCTGTGTTACTATGTTTTTATTATGTGGTAAATGCACACTAACACACATGTGCACACACACACACACTATTCTTTTATTTTCTTTGCCTTTCCTGCTAAAACAACATAAAATGTACCTATAACCAAAGGAGAAGCACTTTGGCAAGCAAAAGTCAGTGAAGAGTGAGGGCAGTATTTTCTTAATTTGACACAGGAATGATCTCACCTAATCAGGCATCACACCAGAATGACATCACAGCACTTTGGGCTCATGAATAAAGGTATGTTTGTACTCGGTATACTGCCACCATCAAGGCCAAATGCTTTTCTACAAAATGCATGCACCTTCTCACCTTTGCCAAGACCAGTACTCTTGGAGAATAGGGGGACTCAAGGAATATAAAATATATTTTGCTTCTGGCCTACAGCCTGTCGTTGTGAACTGCTGTGTCTCATGGTGCTACTTAAGAGTCTTGTTATTCGGAGAAACTTTCCTCCTTGTGGCAGCCAGGGTTGTGGCTCAACCCCCAATACCAGTGAAACATAAGTTGTTGGTTGTGCTGTGTTGGAACTTCCAAAGTGATGCCACATAAGAGGATTTGTGCAGCTCATGGAGAAAGGACCCTGGGTGCCTTCCAGCCTTCTTCTGCTGTTGACATGTAGAATAAATTTATATCAGCCATGACTGGTGTGTGTGTGTGTGTGTGTGTGCGTGTTCATTAGAGTAGTCTTTGCTCCTTGGTTATGAAGTGTAGTGCAGCACTTCATTATGGTATTGTGGGGGAAAGAAAATGGTAGGTAATTGTTTTTTGCCTCTTCACCATGAAGAAATTAGAAGGCAAATTGAAATGTTGTGTGCTCGGATATAAATCTGTTCAATCCTGTGCTGTCCTTTTATTAATGTAAAGGGAACATGGGGCAAACTGGAGGGAATTAATGTTTTAATTTAGTTGCTTTCATGCTGTCTAGGTGCCATCGCTGTTTTTAGAACATTTGAAGATAAATGCAGGTCACAGACTCCTGGATACTTGATAAAGTTTCCTAGTGAATGTTGAGTACATAATTTGTTTTATCATATTGAAATGTGGCTCCTGCCGTGAGTTATTTCTTTGCAAATGCCAAATCAAATGTTTCAAAGAAGACTGGAGATGAAATGAAAATGAAGGTAGAAGACAATATAGATGTCGTTAGACTGGAAATTGTTTATGAGAACCAGAGCTGACCGGCAGGTCTAAATGACATTGATTTGCATACTTTAAATTAGAGTTAATGGATTAATTCTGTGCAGAACTCTTGGCAGGTAAAACAAAGTGGTGTCTGGGAACTATGTTGAGATCCCTAAAACATGAGCAGGTCCGATTATGCTACTGATAAGTTATTTACTTGTTTACTCTTTTTTTTTTTTTCCTTACTGGGTCAAATGCATAATGACATTTTGTATTTTGCTTCTACTGGTATGATTATAATTAGGGGTGTACCAGTTATTTTTCAGTTTCAATTTTCAAACCAAAATAATTCTTTCCTTGTTTAAAAAGTGTTTTGGTATTTTTAAAACCCTTTTTGTCTTATCTACTTCCACTGTTTTCTGTAGCTGTTGTTTCAATGCCATTTTTTATTCTATTCTACTGCATTTAAAAATCTTTCCTGGAACAGACATACAGGTGATCCCATCCCTTTACAGATATTGTAGATGATGTTATAGCATTTCTATATAGCCAATTATATTTGATTATGTGATGATGGCAAATGAAGTCAGTTGAAAATGAGGGCAGTGATTCCTGCATCTGTCACCTGTGTGATACAGCTGATTAGAGAATTATATCCTAAGCATGATGGCATTACACTATGTTATGATATCATGTGACAGCATGTCAACTTTTACCCGAGCAAGAGAGATCAATGTAAATAAACACATGAACATTCTTCAAGCTGGCTCTAAAGTTCAGGTCCCATCTTACCCCAATGACATCAACAGGACATAAGCATCTTATCCCAACCCTGCCCTGTGAGACCTGCAAAACACGTCAACTTACCACCCCTTTCTGCCTCCTTACATTTCCCAAAGCTCAGGAGCCGTGGGAAATCAAATTTACGAGGGGTCCTGGTTCTTGAGCTGGTATATTGCCAGTCTTGGGTATACTGTAGGCTCTGGCATCAGCTCTCTCATAGTAAGATGCCCTTATTATTGCAAGCATATATTTTGAGGATAGGAAAGAAATTGTGGGATTTTGGTTTGAAGGGGGTTAAGACCTTGTATGAGAGATTTGGGATGCATGCATTTAGGCTCTGTTGGACTCACAATAATGCTTGGAAGGCTGGCACAAGGTATGGCAAGGTTCTCAGCACCCACTGAAGCAGACTTTCGACAGTAATGAAGCCTTATGAAAGGTGAGGTGGACTCCTTGCACAAAGGGTGAAGTGTAAGGCAGACTTTTGCAGTAGTAGCAGCTTAAAAGCTCAGTTTTTGCTGTAGCTAGCGTATGAATCCTTCACAGTATGGTCAGAGAAGAAGACCTGGTTCATGGTCCTATCCCAGAGGGCTTGGGCTGTCATTGAATGCCCCACTGTGCCAACATCTCACACCAGTAAACAGCATTTCCATGCACTCTGGTTTCCACCACAGTGTTCTGTTGCGCCAGAAGTGGTTTGGTCATGCTGGCCACATGACCCGGAAAGCTGTCTGTGGACAAACACTGGCTCCCTCTGCCTGAAAGCGAGATGAGCACCACAACCCCATAGTCACCTTTGACTGGACTTAACCATCCATGGGTCCTTTACCTTTACCATTAGGAGCACAATGACACTGAATGTTTCAAAATGCTTAGAGAGCAATGTGACTTTAGTGTGTGTTTTTTTAAATGGTTCTTTTTAGCCAAGGCTATCTGAGTTTGGCACAGCAAGGGGGGTGCACCAAGGAAGGAGGCAGCTGAGGGAAAGGGGAGGGACCACCACATGCTGGACCCAAATTTTGGGAGGCAGTTGGGCTTACTTCATAATGGATGTAGCAGTACCTCTACCAAATTTCAAAGTTTCAGTATTGTTATTTAGTTCTTGACTTTCTTTGGGATGTGCCCAACTCAAAACTCAGTCTAAATTTACCAGGTTGCCACGGACTGATTTTGGAAGCACTGTACTGGTAAATGAAACCTGGGTTTCTGAACTGGATGCACACTGTATTCCTGCACAACTATGTCTACACTGCCAGATACAATATATGTCTATTCAATGGCACAAGCCCACACCTTATTTCTGATTTTATCTTTGTTTTATGAGCCCTTTAGTATATTCACAGAGGCAGAATTTGGCACAATCTGTTAAATGCATCAGTGGCTTATAAAAATCACTGCTTGTTTCTTGCTTCCTATTAAGTAAGACATGCCAAAACTGGAAACCATTTGAGACATGAAATATGACTCAAAGGTCAGTGCTTAGAACGCGGATAATACAGTGCATGAGACAACACTAATCTCTTGGTACTGTGATGAATATGTTGACAAGCATTCAACTTTTAATAATTAATCATGAAAAAACAAAGCCATGTTAATAATTCAAGGCCTACTAATGTAGGGTGCTATGGCTATTTGAATACCGTGCTTTCTGCTGAGCTTTGCCTGTGTTAATTTTAACCCAAAGCACTCTTGAGCATCATCTCCTTTTGTGACAGCATTTGCTCAAGCTACCATCAGCACAGAACAGGCCAGCTCAACTACATGTAGCAGCTTAAGCAGCAGAATTGGGAGCAAAACAGTTTAAAAAGCCCAAAGGTTAATCAAAATCATGAGCGATCCTTTCTAACCATTTTCTGCTAAAAAAAAATTTTTTTAAGCAAGACTTGCCTCCCTCCCCCAGCATTTTGTTCTTATTCTGCAGCAGCAGTACATGTGTAATGTTTGCTTTGTGGTTAAGTTTCTGAATTGTATCCCTGCTTGGCTCTCCTTTTACCAGCTTACCCGTTCTACAGTAAATGAATGGATACAGTCATTTCTGTCTCTGTCTTCATGCCTTGTGTGTTTCCTGATACTTACGATAGGAAATTCCTTGAATACTGGAACTACCAAAGCACCTATTTCGTGGTCCAACCCATTTGGCCCATTAAGCAAGGGTGATTGCTCCTCTCAAGTTGCTGTTTTTGCAATTGCACACAGTTCCTAGATAAACAAAAGGCTGACGTTTTCTAAAGAGTACCATTCTGTTAGCCTTGTTGAAGTTGGAGCCAGTATCTGGAGGGAGAAAATGCCTCTCATGTTGCATGTCTGGTTACAGAAACCAGTTGACTTAGTGTAATTCTTTCCAATGTTAGTGGTTTAAATGCCTAATTTTGTTCTATGTTTGGCTGGCTTTTTTTTCTTCTTCCAAAAACGTTTGCTGTTCCTAAAATGTACTCAGAGAAATTACACTAACTCTGCTTTTAAAAGCAGAAAACTACAGGAGGTAGATGAAGCACCACATAAGCAATATCTAAGGTTATTTCAGCATGTTTTGATACATACCACTGAAGCAAAAGAAAGAAAGAATAACCAAAACAAACAGTATACTTTAAAGGAGCTGAAATACGTTTGCAAGGCAAACTCTAGTCAATGGCCTTCCAATGTTTCAGATAACAAAAGAGGGTGTGTGACACTGTACCTGTTAACCACAATCTACAACCAATATGGCAAATCTTTAGTCCAGTCTGATGGCCACAATCCCTCATTTTCAACCATCCAGAGGGTTAGATGCTAGTGGCAGCCAATGCTGGGGTGAAAAGTGTTAGAGAGAAAAAGTGGGGAGGCAATGGCTGTGCCTCCTTTATACATTCCAAAATCAGAAGTTTCTTTCTAAACATACACCCATTCAGAACAAGCAAGAGATACCATAGTTCAAGGATAAATTCTAGGCTGGTAAAATGCTTGAGGGTGTTGAAGAGGGCCAGTGGAGTGGCATTGCCTGGGGAGACACTCAAGAGTCAGATATCGAGTGCCAAGGTTCACCATCCCGATCTACAGGAATCTTATTTCTGATTTACACCATGCCCAATTAGTTTCCTAGGTTCCCTCCTATTGATGCTTATCTCAAAGAATCAAATTCCTTTCATGAGTGGCAGTTATTTCATGGAACGGTGTTAGTTTTATTCTTTAGGTGCGTCTGTATTGATTGAATGAAAGCTTCATAGTAAAGTTAAAGAGCTCTGGGTCCTTTAAGAGCATGATGCATTTAATATTTACATTAGGCTTTCAAAAGCTGAAAGCTTCTTGCATAGATTTTCCAGTAGAATTCCATCCAGGTACTATGCACCTTTTCACTTTCAACATTTCCAGATCACTGATCCCAACAGGTTCTAACCATTGCAGTGACCAGTAAGTTGCAATTCTGGAGCAAAAACGTGATGCAGTAATTAGCCAACAACACTCCTCATCTTATTTGCTAAGTTAGACTTCATAAGTAACCATGGCAATCTAGTAGTACCCTACATTTACATAGCTACCCCGAGAGCACTGAAACAGGGATGAGAAATAGTATGATTTCTTTGTTACTTTTTAGCCTCAAAGCCCCAAAGAGGTGAACAACAAGTGTATATTTCTTTTGTATTAATATGTAATTCAATTGTGATACATAAATCACACCAATCGAAATAATATAAAATAGCAGCAAGGTTTTCAATGGCCAATGGAGGGAATGTGTGGCCCTCCAGATGTTGTTGGACTCCAATATGGCTATTGGTCAAGTTTGATGCGAGTAATAGTCCAGCAATATATTATTATTTTTATTTATTTTCAGGATGGATGGATGAGTTGAACCAACTGGAAGCAACAAATACACAACAATCTGTTTGTGGTGGTCTCTTAAAATCCAGAAGGAAAATAGCTAAATTTTCCTAGCTTGCAAAACCTTTCATAACAGCATAGCATAAAAGTACAAAGTGCAAACAACTGAAATAGTGATAGCTCACAGCTTTCGCCTACATGTATGGGCATAATCCACCAAGAACAGATCCTGACCAATCCTCATTTCAATAAATCGAATTTCTGCAACAGCGTATCTACACTCACTAGGGCTTGCACAGGAGATATACCTAATGATTTGTGGCTTGTAAATGGCTGTCCTGCAGAGAATTGCATGCAGAAATGTGTTTTGCAGTCCTCACTAAAATCCATGCTTTTAAAATATGGACAGAGTATGTTTATTGGGAATTGAGAAATATAGGATATCTGAGTTACAGTAAATCACTGTTATTTTCTGGTCAGGTTCTGAATAAAAGATACTAGTATCCCTTTCCCCACCCCTTCCGTCTGCAAATCTATAAATCTTGTTTGGTATTTTTCTGTATCTGCAACTACAGACCAGTGCTTAGATAAGATTAGGAATGGTGGGTCTGTCTATTTCTGATACATGTCGCATTCATATGCATCCACCCAGAAATCTGTTACATTCAGTTCTGCAATTTTTTAAATGTCATGTAAAAAAATGTATTGAATGTCCATTTAAATCTATTATATATCTATGTTTCTAAACAGATTTTCTCTGAATGTACATCTCTGAAGATATTTTGATAGGTCTTTTGAGACAATAACTTCATTGGGACACCTGGGAAGGGTAAATGCCAGTGGATAATAGACTCCAATCTGCACATTAGCTGCACATTAGAGATTCAAAACAGGTTAATTTTCTGTGGTGGCATCTTGACACTGGAAGGCCTTCCCAATAATTTAAATAACTAAATAATAAGACCCTGATGACTCATTAGGCAATTGCATTACCATCCTCTTGATGCCAGGTTAAGACCCCTCTGTTAGCTTGGGCATTTTAGATGTAACGGTGTTCTCTCTACATTTGTTTTTGTTCTGATCTGTGGGGAAGCTCACCACTGAGGAGATTCCCAGGTGGGATGGATGGCAAGGAAAGGCGAGAGTCAGCACCTTGAAAAGAAATCAAGGTATTCAGGACCATGGATAGGGTACCTGACATGAAGGCCAAAGATCCAATTTGTCTCAATTGTAGCCTAACTAAGAGAAGGAAATCTCTCATCCTAAACATCCACTGCTTTCCAGGATATCTTTGGGAGAAGAAAAGGCTAAGCTGTAAACTCCACACAAATCCAGAGTTGAGTCCCTAAGATGGTTGGATGGTGCCTTGTACGCCTCCTTCTGGCAACTCCTGCAGCCCAGCTGGTGCCATACATATTGCTTTCCTTTCCTTTGGACCACATCAGTGAGGCCAAGAGGGAGGTCTTGTTGTCTGGGCAGCCCAGGACCTCCACACACACTGCCCAGGGTCTGTGCCCCGGGGAAGGTCACTTCGGTGCTGACTTCACCCCTGGAGGTGCACTCCATTGTCTCACAAGACGGATGCCAACAACAACAAATGTCTTGGAGCAGTGTGCCCCAGATATTGAGGTCTCTCTTTAGGACTATCTTGTGCCACCACTACTGAATCTGGCAGTAGAGTTGTACCCTTGGGGAGGTTGACTCCAGTGCCCACAGACTCACATGGTACAGGCTAGGACAGTGATCCATCTCCTCAAGTTGCCGAAGGTCATGGTAACATTTTTGTGTGTGTGTTAGTCAATCTTTTATCTGTCAGCACAAAATAATTCTGTGCTGAAAATTTCTTCTGAGAGTGTGAAGCTGGGGAGATTGTCTGCAGTGTGTTGCACAGCTTTTCATTTTTGTTTTTAGTTGAATTATTTTTACTTACAAATGAATTGCTGCAGAAAGTTATTTTTTAAAAAAGGACTTCCCTTAAAAACAGAATATGTCTGTACTCAGTAGCTAGCCTTCCTGGCTTCTTAAAAGCACAGGGGAGCGTGTCATGTGGCAATTCTTTCCATGGGGATTTTGAGATCAGGAAGCACCAGCAGCTAGAAGGGTTGCAAAGCGCTTGTGAAATTGTTTAATAGAAAGAAGGACACAGAGAATGCTCTCTGCCATCTTGCAACAATAAGATAAGCTCCGCTCTGCACCACCAGAATTGTAAAGGGGGGGGAAGCATACGCAGAAAAACAGAAACCTGTTTTGCAGGTGAAGCAGCCTTTGGAGATATTACAGGGTGGAGCAGCACTGATGCAAAGCTTTTTGAGAGTGGTACATACTCATTCAGAAGGTGGTAGACTGTCCTTCTTTGGAGGTTTTAAAGCAAAGGTTGGATGGCCATGTGTCCTGGATACTTTGGTTGAGATTCCTGCATTTCAGGGGGTTGGACTAGATGACTCCCTGGGTCCCTTCCAACTTTACAGTTCTAGGACTCTTTGACTCTATGTCTCTATTCTTATTTCCTGAGTTATTTTAAAAGAAGGTGGCATGGATCAGTTCCTGAAACACATACACATTCAATGCATGAATTTCATCACTGTGTTAAGATTCACCAAGCTAAATGGGGTCAGTTGGGAGGAATTTGCTCCAGTTGATATTTGCCTGCTTTTATGTGCATATGGAGTACTTCGAAAGTTTATTTCTATACCTTGTATTTTTAAGTTACTATAACTGGCCCTGAGTCTTTGAAATGGGGTGTAATAAAAAATTAAATAAAATTTCTGAATGCTCTCTTATCTCACTAGCTGTTGTCTAGAATAAATAAAGCCTACATATATTTTATGTGCAATATATGGACAGGAATAAAAATCAACCCAAGTGTATTCAAGATTTATTACAGAAGGGGGAAGCTATTATTCTTTGATTTCTAGCCAGCAGAAGGCCTTTATACCTCAACTCTCTCCCTACTAAATAACATTATAAGTGTGTTCAAGACAGACTACCATTAGGTTTATAAAAAGTGAGCCTTGTTTAGGAACTTTTCCAGTTGTTGAAAACACTACTGCTTGCATTTCAGTTTTATCATGCTTTTCACCATTAAACAGTCTGTTTGGAGCCAGCTTTAATATAATAAATCAACTAAATAAATGTTTGCAAGGTTTGGTTTGGGTTTTTTGTTGTTGTTTTTTTAAAAAAGGCTGAGTAAAGTATTGCTTTGACATGCTTACTTTGCATTTAGAGGATTTAGAACCACTGAACATACAGGATACCCTTTTTTGTGAGCCTTTTAAAGTCTGACTGTGTTTTGTATGCTAGACAAAAATTAATAATCTACTTACTGTAGAATTGCCTTGTTGTAGTCATCTCATTGAGCAGAACATCTATGAAGTTAGTGGTTTGAGGTCTACAACTTTATACAGTAAAGTATAGATATTTCATTATTCTTTATTTGGAAATTTAATCCCATTATAATCATTGGTATGCCAGAGGAAGGCAAAAGCAATGGTGGTTTGGGAAGTCACCACATAATTGCATCTGTCCCATACAGTTCCTGTGTATACATCACTGGATCAAACCAGGCATAAACAGTTTCCATAGGAACTACTGCCTGAAGTAGGACGAAGTTGGATTCAAGTATGATCCATTGAAATAAAACACAGCAATTCACTGGAGTGCCTAATTTTCTTTCAAGTGCCTCCAGTATTCACAATATTCCCTGTTATCTGTGTACTCTTATCCCACCCATGAGGATGAGGATGTTGTAATATAATGCAATTTCTTCTCTTACCTATAAGTTAAAACAATTTAAAAATAAAATATTAAAATGAGTTGAAACAAATTGCAGCCAAGGGAATAGGGTGTGCCCTATAATATATATCTCAGGTGTCAAAGGCAAGGGTAAAGTGGTGTGTCTTTAACTATGTCTCCTTTGCCCTTTATAAGCACTTGCTAAGAATTCATATACAGTGGTGCCCCACAAGACGAATGCCTCGCAAGACGAAAAACCCGCTAGACAAAAGGGTTTTCCGTTTTTCGATGCGCTTCGCAAGACAAATTTCCCTATGGGCTTGCTTCGCAAAACGAAAAAGTCTTGTGAGTCTTGCGATTTTTTTCGCTTCCCCCCCCTTTTTTCTAAGCCGCTAAGCCGCTAATAGCCTTTTAGCCACTAAGCCGCTAAGCCTTTAATAGCCGCTAAACCGCTAATAGCGCTAATCCGCTAAACCGCTAATAGGGTTGCTTCACAAGACGAAAAAACCGCTAGACGAAGAGACTCGCGGAACGGATTAATTTCGTCTTGCGAGGCACCACTGTACATGGTTCCTTTGTGCAGAAAAAATCACTTGGGTCAAAATAGATGCTACATTAAATAAATCGCTCTCAAGAACTGAGGCTTGCAGAGTGTAGAATCTGAGGGTGCAACTATTGGAACTACATCCCTTTGAGGGTGTTTTTGGTAGAAGAAGAAAAAGCAGCAATTTTGTTAATACAGGAATGGGGAACTTGTGGCCCTCCAAGTATTGTTAGACTACAACTCCCATTATCCCTGATCACTAACCATGCTGGGTGGGATTAATAGGAGCTGGAATCAAACAACACCTGGAGCCTCACTTTTGATATCTATGAATAGAGGAAGAATAGCTGGATAATTTATGCTGCTGTGCTTCAACTGTGATTTATGTACTTTTTCTTATACAGGTTGTGTAGACGCCATACATTTAAAACACATTTGAAGCACATTCCCCCTCCAAGAATCCTGGGAACTGCAGTTTACTACTGATGAATCTACAATTCACAGTACCTTTACCACACTACAGTTCTCAGGATTTTATTTTATTTTTTATTTGGTGGAGAGGGGTGAAGGAAAATGAGCTTTGCATGTATGGTGCACAGAAGCCCCTTTGAAAGGTCTAATGAAGTTTGCTTAGTGGGGAAAAGGATTCACCTTTGGCCAGTATGCGTTCATTAGAAGTCTATAGAAAACCCTTCATGCTGTTTGGTCCACGTGATTTGAAGAGTTTTCAGCTGCATGGAGTGAGATGCATGGGCATCTCTCTATAGATACTGCTATGAACATGTGTAGGTCAAGCAGAATTTGCCAGTGTGGTGCTGTTGCTCATTCCTTACATGCTTCCATTACAGCATTTGAATGAGGCTAATGGTAATCCCTGTTTGTTAAAGATGTCACATGCTTTTGCTTTTGACTCAGCTCATTAGCAGTAGAAAGAAGTATATGAAAAAGGAGGAATCCTTTCATTGGTTTCATTCTTGGCCAGTTCACTGTATGTGAATAGGTGCACATGAACCAAGTGAGAGACACAGCTGCTGCTTGCAGCTCAATTAGTTAATCCAGACCACTTAAATCTGAGAGTTTAGATATGCTGCCGTCAATGGAACAACCTTTGCTTGTTCGGCAGCTAAGATGGTGTAAAGTGGAGAATACAGTATTTCAAGGTAAGGATGCAAACCTGCATGAATTACAACTTGGGTTGTATTGTGTTACACTATTTTCCCTTGTTAATTCTTTATTTCCCTATAACAAAGAAAAATATGGCTAGACCAAATCTGGAAATCAATGACAAAACACTAAAGCATTAAAGGAAATAGGAATGCACCCAGCAAAATTTCCCAGGTTTTGTATTAGCCAGAAGGGAAAATGTTTGACTCTTGATATCTTTGGTAACCCTGCACATTTGAGTCTCGCTGCTAAGCACTAACTAAACTGTCCTTCTAGCAATGTGCAGGTAGTATGAACTCTTCTTAGCAGCAGAGATCGATAGATATCAAAGGCAAACATAGACCTTTCCTGTGCAAAGCTGTGTTTGCCCTTAACTTGCTCTCCTCCAAATTCAGGAGCCAGCTGTAGCTCTCCTCTGTGCATTGAAGCGCCACAGGAGAACTATACCTTGTAGGATAAATGTGATACTACATAGGGTACATTAGGCATTTGATGGGCTTAGGAAATGTACTGATACTTACATGTTAAGTACCCTGGCCCATTTTAAGCCCTCCTGAGCCTTTTTAATACATGAAACACAGTGATCTGAATTATAATAATGTGGATTAGTATTCTTTTTTAAAAAAGGGATAGAATAGATGTTTAATAAATTGCATTAATATTCAAATCACGCGCACACACAAACATATATCTCACATTGACATAAATAATGTTAACTGAATATAGTGTGTGGGAGAGTCTGTGTATTATGTACACAGCTTTTTCAAAGAGCTTTTAAACATTAATAGAAATCATTAAATTAATTATGAAAATTCTTTATTCAGAGCAACTCTAATGTGGGTTAGTGGCTGACAGTTAATGAATTTCTACTTCTTTCTGTGGGAATTGTCATCAGAGGCACTTCACTAATAAGACAGCACATTGAATTTAAATTGCAGTATAAATTCTATACCATAAAATGCCTGTACTGCTAAGAAGAGAGAGAGAGAAGTACAAGTGACAGATATTCTAAACAGCATTTATTTTAAGACTACTACAACACTCTGAAATGTTGTGTCAACTTGAGGAAATGGTTTAAGGTAGCTTGATCTTGCTTAGCTTGTTCCTCCCATCATCTGTCAGCATTGAACTCCATGTGCAAAGAGTTCCATTGAAAGGGCATGTCAAGCAAGCTGTTCTCTTTTGAATTGTTTGTTTTTTGATCAAGTGGCTTTCTAAAAAGTTCTTCAGTTGTAAATAAAGCCAGAAAATGTTGCTTTGCAGGATTAAAACACTTCAGCATGTGGTTTAACCACTGGGTGCAAATGCTGAACTGCTGTCTTAGATCTCTTTTCTCTGCTTAATGGAAAAAATTCACTTAAAGTTTGAGGCAATTGCTGTGAACCAGCATGAAAAAAGTCCAATCAGCACCACCTCTTAACCCTGTCCTTCCTCTCATAGTACTTTTGAGGAAGATGCTTCATCGTTGTGGCCTGACATTACTGTGCAATTGTGTGGAAAGACGGTCAATCTGCACAAAGTGAAGGGAGTGTGTAAGTTGACATTGCTGACACCCCCTCTATAGATTTCTCTGTCTTTTCCTCACATGCATTATTCAGCCTCCTGTTGTGCAGTTCAACTTTTGTAATATCCACTTAAAAATTGGCTAGATAATGCCTGGCCTCTGGACCACAGTGATCATGCTGCTGACTTGACCATAGGCCAGCTGTTTAGGAAGAAAACAGGGGAAATCTTTATCTGTTACAGGAAGGCAATGGCAGGTTGAATGTGACCTACAAGATGTACATAAGGGAAAAGAGTAGGGGTGTGAAGCTTGGGGATCAGACTATGCATAACATGATACAAAGCTGAAACAAAGGAGATGTAATTAATTAACTTGCTGTAGTAGGTAAAACTCTGGATGAGTTTCATAAGGCAAGGGAAATCCTATATTTAGCTTGGTTGCAGTGCAAGAACATTACATGCAAATCAAGAAAAGAAAATAATTATTTTGGAAACTTTGTCATGGTGTCTTTTCGAAATGCTGTGCCCATCCATACCCCTCCAGAATAATGTTACCAAATTGCCATAGCCAGGACTGCAAAAGACAAATCTCTAAGAATTAAGATTTGGCTCCAGTGTCTGTTGAGCAGCTGCCTTTTGAAGCCTTTTATAAATCAGTTAGGAACTCCCATTGTGCTAAACGAACTGAAGTCTGAAGAGACAAAAAAAACAACAACCTGGAAAGGGAAAGGGAAAGACAGTGGAAGGAGTTGTTGATTTGATTCTGATAGCTGCTAGACAAAATAGTCTGACAAAAGCATTAAATGCCTCTTTTGGGGTTGCTCGACAGGAGGTCAAAGGACACACAAGAGAGGAAAGGGTCTGGGTGAGTTATTTTATGTTTGAAAGACTGTAAGACTGATGACTTATTACGCCTGAATGCAGGCAAAATTACTTGCCACTGATTGTCCTAGTGTACCAGAGCAGAGGCCTGGACTTCGAATCTCCATAGGAGGTCATGAAAGAGAATAAGCAAAAGGCTGTTGTTTGCTCTGGGATGGCAACAGTTGGCATGTGGGAACTGCTTTTGCTCCCCACTGGTGTGCCAGCAGAATCCTTTGTAGCCCTATGAAAATGGACCATTCTTGTATGAGGCATGGTGAAGGAGCTCTACAGCTGCTCTGTGCTGGGTGGTAGCAGAGAAGTCGCTGAGGGCTTGAGTGAGTGTCAGTCAGACAAAGTCTTTTGAGCAGATGCTTAACACAACAATATATCCATACCATGACTACAGTTTTATGATGAGGTCTGCTGGCATGAGACAATAGTGATGGGGGGGTAGCACTTGTTCCTGAGGAATTTAGTCTCTTCTTGCTGTTTTTGTTCTTCCGAGTGCTTGCCACTGCTTTGCATACAAATGAAAATGAAAGATGGACAATATATGGGTTTTGTTAAAATGGCCTTAAAAAGTAAGGGGTGTCCTGATGAAGAGAGACGGAAAGATGGCGAACAGCTGGCGGGCCTACAACTGACTGCTTATGTCTTTTGACCATATTTGTTCTGTGTTAACTATGGCTGTCCCATAAAATTCTTTTGAAACTGCTCTTGTGTGTTCCATTAATGGTATATAGCTGATTGTGCACAGTGTGCTGCTCCCTGTAAGACCAGAGGCTTCGTGATTGTGGGATGGGGTCCATGGTTGCAGGGAAATGTCATGCTCCTAAGCATGTAGAAAGTGGATTTCTGATATTGTAGGGTATATGTCTAAGGCAGGTCCCTACAGCCCAATAGTGGGCATTTCAGGATTCTAGGTGGGCAGTAGGGGGTTCTACGGCACAATCTGAATCCTCCTTCCATTGATCACTGGTGGGCGGTAAGGAAAGATGCATTAGTGGGCAGTAGGTATAAAAAGGTTGATGACCCCTGGTCTAAGGCATGTCTGGAAGTGATGAGATCAGATGTGTTATGTGTTGTTTAGGCACAGACAGTACAGGCTGTGGACTTGAGAATGGTCTGAAGACACATGATGCAATGGTCTGAAGACACATGATGTTAGAGCTAAGGAAGGCTGATTCTTAGCCACACTTCATTGGAAATACACGTATCAGCTGCTCTGAGGCATTTTGGTGGGAAAGGAAGTTACATAAGAGTTTAGAGTACAGTGGTACTTCGGTTTACAAACAGCCCTGTTTACGAACTATTCAGTTCATGAACTCCGCAAAAGGTATTCCAGTTAGGTGTTCTGGTTAGCGAACTTTACCTCCGTCTATGAACGGAAACCAAATGATGGAAGGGCACCAGCAGCGGGAGGCCTCATTAGGGAAAGTGCGCCTCGGTTTAAGAATTGTTTAAGAACGGACTTCCGGAATGGATTAAGTTCGAAAACCGAGGTAAAAAGGTAAAGGTAAAGGAACCCCTGACCATTAGGTCCAGTCATGACTGACTCTGGGGTTGCGGCGCTCATCTCGCTTTATTGGCCGAGGGAGCCGGCGTACAGCTTCTGGGTCATGTGGCCAGCATGACTAAGTCGCTTCTGGCGAACCAGAGCAGCACACGGAAACGCCGTTTACCTTTCCGCCAGAGCGGTACCTTTTTATCTACTTGCACTTTGACGTGCTTTCGAACTGCTAGGTTGGCAGGAGCAGGGACCGAGCCACGGGAGCTCACCCCGTCACAGGGATTCGAACCGCCAACCTTCTGATCGGCAAGTCCTAGGCTCTGTGGTTTAACCCACAATGCCACCCGCATCCCAAACCGAGGTACCACTGTAATTCTTTAAAGGAGACTGTCAGTTTTGGGAAGTTCAAGGGATGTTCCCTTAAAAGGATGCAGGTATAGTGTTGACTGTAAGGTGGCAACCAACATATACCTTCAAACACCATCTGATTAATTCAACAACTATTAGAGAAAAGTTGTAGGTAAGATGGTACAGAAAACAGACCTCATATTTCAGAACAGGAGCAATAGCAATATAATGATGGTGACTCTGTTCTAGGTCAGAAGCAGCTAAGGTGGTGCACTCCAGATATTGTGGGCTCCAACTCCCATCACCTCCAGCCAGCATGGCCAAATGTCAGGGATGATGGGAGTTGAAGTTCATCAACATCTAGAGGTACCACCTTGACTGCTCTTGCCTTAGGTAAACAGCTGCTGCTCCTTCAGATGACTGCTCAGACTTTAAGGACCCAAGGAATACACATAGCATGTCTCAATTATTTCCCTCTCTTTAAACACACACACACACACACACACACACACACACACACGTACACACCCATATACATTTACCACACAGTCTGGCTTAGTTCACTCATTTCCCCCCACCCACCCACAGCACAAACAGCCTCCACATATGCTTTGAATTGTTGGCTCTCAAAACTTCTTTCCATGATTTGCGTCAGGGCAAGACTAATGAGGCATGAAATCATCCTGGCCATGAGACATTCTCTAAGCAAACTCTGCTCCAAGACAAGCAGGCACTCTCAGCCCAATGGGGCAGTGAAAACTTTAAAGCACACAAGGAGGGCCTTGGAAAACCTCACTGTTGAAGAATGCCAGTGATATTTCTACTTTTATCCACATGTGTATATAAGTATGTTTTGATTGCGTGTGCTTTATAATCCTAGTTTACTCACAGTAGCTGAGGAAGGCGTGACGGCAGGGCCAGGAGACAACAAGTCTTTCTAGATAAGGCAACAATGCAAAGCAATAATCTGAGTATGGTAAAAGAGAGAGAGAACTATTTGCAGTGGTGAAAAAAAGATAATTGTGTTCTGGTGAGATACTGGCAGAATTGGGCTGAACATATTTATAACTAAGTTGTATCTTGTACTGGCAACTTTTGTTTAAGTGTGCTAAGAGTTAAGGCATACTTGTTTCACTTGGCATTTGGTGGAAGGTTGGCTACTGAATGGCTGGCAAAATATTTTAAGCTAGTTTTATGCTGCTGTCTCTTAGCTTGCTATGTTTTCAACATTGGCTGTTGTAAGCCAGATGAAGGGAGTGCCTGAAAGATGGGATATAAATTGTAGAAATAAAACAATTGAACAAATGTAGAAAGGACCATTTATTTTTGGCAAGTGGGTTTTTAATGAACACTTTATTATATGCCTATTCATTACATGTATTGTTATTTGGCAAATGCATCTGAAAGTCTGTGATCTTATTTAAGAGCTGGTTGTTTGGCATTTGGTCTATGTGATTCTTGTGCAGAAAACTGCTACTGGTACAATATTTTTAATGTTAAGACCTGTGTCTATTTTACTGTCAAGAATGACCAAACAACATGACTTTCTTAAACGACAGGTGTACATATCTGGCAACATGAGTCTTAAGATAAATGTTTGTAAAATGCAGCCACTGAAACCGCTGCAATAAATTGCTTAGACCTGCTCAGAGTCATATGGGAATTCCTTGGCAAACTGAGGAATTGTGCCTGAGCTTCTCAAATCCCAGTACAGCACCTTTGCACAAGATCATTCCCTTTGAAGCAGCAGCAACATTTTCTTGTCATCCAGATACTGCAGTAATATTTTTATTCCTCACACACCACTGTGTAGTTAAAACTAGGATATTTTAAGGCTTGTCATGTAGATGGTTGACCATGTGCTTTCCTTCAGGAATGTAAGTTACAGAAAACATTCATATACACCATTGAGAAGTTACTAAGCAAAAACTCAAAATTGGAATAATTAAAGTAGCTTTCTGGAAAATGCTGCAGGGAGGCTTTTTAGCAGAGGAAATTTTGATAAGGTTTTTTTGTTTTGTTTTTAAGCAAGCTGAGGGTCTTAACTATCTATGATGGTAAAAGGTAAAGGTACCCCTGACCGTTAGGTCCAGTTGCGGATGACTCTGGGGTTGTGTGCTCATCTCGCTCTATAGGTCGAGGAAGCCGGCGTTTGTCCACAGACAGCTTCCGGGTCATGTGGCCACCATTACTAAGCGACTTCTGGTGAACCAGCGCAGCGCACAGAAACGCAGTTTACCTTCCCGCCGAAGTGGTACCTATTTATCTACTTGTACTTTGTGCTTTCGAACTGCTAGGTGGCAGAAGCAGGGACCGAGCAACGGGAGCTCACCCCGTTGCGGGGATTCAAACTGCCGATCTTCCAATCAGCAAGCCCTAGGCTCAGTGGTTTAGACCACAGCGCTACTCGCGTCCCTCCTATGATGGTATCATAGTATGTAGCTACCTTTCCCCTTTCCCCTCATATTAAGTACAAGTGTGTGGAAGCAATCCTTACAGGGAACTAGGGTTGGGCAAATCTTTCGGTCTCAGTTTCTCATTTTTCCAATCTTAAAATTTAGTTTTCCACATCTCCCCATCAGTTTCCATTTTTTTTAAGTCCTCATAAAAATTTATCATAATTTTAGTGCAAGTTTTCCCTAATCTAGATATGTTTGTAAGCAATTTTGCATATTTTCCATAATGTAATGCATTTTGTATGTTTTTACTAGTTTGTGCATTTTTAAAATAGATGCTTTACCCCAGCATATGCAGTTTTGTACACATTGCTTGGCTGGAGAACTGCATTTCCATATTCAGATAGGTACGGATTTCAAAGGATGGCTGTGGTTTACATAATTGTGAATTGGTCTGTAAAATGTAAACATTAATAAAATCCAGGTGGTTGAAGGGAAATCTGTTTGGATTAGTAGCTGTTTGATTAATTGGTGAGGAATTAACAATAGAATTTGCACCAGCTGCTGACACTGATATATGATACTGGTTTAAGATAACATACTTCTTCTGCAGAATAGTTTCTGCATTGAAAAAAAACCATTGCAGTGTGATGCAAAATCTATATGGTTTTTCATTGGAAAGATCCATAAGCATCAGCAGGTTGGAATCAATTCTCTTGCTAGCAATTCCTACCCATCCACCTGCAAAATTTATGTATATTTTGTATGGTGACATTACATTTTTCATGAATATGTCTCCTTAGGTCTTATTTCACTGAGGAAACAACATTATATATTATATTTTTAGAATAATATATATCTGATGCAGCTAGAGCTGGAACTTGGATCCAAAGGCCAGAGCCCCACAGCACAAGAGGACTCCAAATACAGAGAGCAGCAGATGATGGGGGCATATTGCTTCTGTCAGGGTCTAAAATTATGCCACTGCAATTATGCAAGCTTAATGTCACTGATCTAGTACAGTGGAACAGCTGGAATAAGTTGTAGTCCTTCACAATAGAAGGTGCATGGAAGCACACCTATCAGTCCTGTGGCTCATAATAATACAGTCAGAAGTGGAAAGGATTAGGGGAGAAGTTGTTGGCCTTGTTCTTTGGAGTGCAACAAATTTACCAGTATGACTTCTCTGCACAGCATGAGTGATCAATCAGGCTGCAAGCTGCTGGCAGCACCATGAAGAGACCTCTGCTGGGTGCATTGAAGCAGTGGCAGCACAAACTATTAAGATTCCAGCAGAGGCTTGGAAGAGTGTGCTCTATTGCCCAGAAAAAGCCGCAACAGGTAGCCAATGCCATGAATGAGGCCTACCTAAAGGGACCAACTAGCACAGTTAGCTCAGGAGAAGTAGAAATAGACTCTGTGTGACTTTTTCTCTGTCTGCGGAAAGTTTTAAATTCCAGAGGAACTGAAATGGGATTGGGTGTAATAGGCAGGGAAGTTGTTCTTACCAAAGGATTCCGCAAGCGGATGCCAGGGTGGGCAGCTGAATAGTAGGACTAATGTTATGAGCCTTATTTGACAAGCAAACCCAATTGTATCTTGCTATACAAGACATGAAAATGTAGGACTTGTTTCTGTAAATACAGTAATGATTAAAAACAATAAGATCAAATAAAACTAAATAAACCCAGCTTTATTTTTAACCTTAGCTACAAGGGAACGGTGACATGTTGCTGTATCCCAGTGCTATCGGAGGAGTTGAACCGGACTGATCTTGTGCATTGTGCAAGTTCTAGTTCCCTGACAAAACAAACAGATAAATGCAGGTTTTCCTTTCTTCCTTCTGCCCAATATAATATTAAGCAAAGAATACCAAGGAACCTTCACATACATTTCCTTATCTCAAAAGCTTCTTCCCCTGTTAGTTGCACAGCATCCTCATTGGTCCGGTTCACACATCAAAGAAAGGCAAAATATGGTTTACTGCCCTTGTGTGGAAGTGTGGGCTGTTGGAGAAATTAAACCTTATCTACAGCTCATGGTTAGCAAAGAGAGAGCATGACCACAAACCTGGTCATGTTGTTGTTGTTGTTTGTTTGTTGTTGTTGTTTTATTTAGGATAATGCCCAACAGTTCCCTTGAATTTTAAACAGGATTGTTCTGCAGGAGCACCTATCAGGAGGGCACCACTACTGATTTGGCCACCTAGCAGCAGCATCACAGGCAGATACTGTGATGTGATGGGGTGGGGCAGGGTATTGATGTGTCTTGGGTAGGGTGGGTGTACTGGCAGAATCCATCTGGCACTCCTGCCATGTGCCTAAATCACCCCAACCTGATCACTGCCCTGTTGTACTCTCATACTATCCCAGTAAGCTGCAATGATGCCACTGCTGGGAAGATGAGTCTGTGATGACAAGCCCTCCCTACCAGCTGCTCCTGGTCTTTGCATCGCTACCTGGAGATACCGGAGGTTGGACATGGGATCTTTTCAAATATGGCACTTGGCAAAGGAAAATGTCAATCACCAGAACACACAAGGATTATGTCAGCTGCAGATGTACATTCGACAAGTCAGTCCAGTATTAAGTACAAATTCAGTGCAGCTAACCAACCTTTATTCAGTGACAAAGCCGGTCCTACTCATTTTAACATTGGAGTGTACATAATGGCTGTGTGGGGGGTGATTTTTAAAAAAACCAAAATTGCTACAGCTTCATATTACTTGGCTCTCCGTACAATTAGTGCATATAAGCTAGAATATTGTTGGGCGAGAGCATTTTTTTAAAAATGGTTTACAACAGTAGAACAAGCCAAATATCCTTATAAATTATATTAATGAGAGAGATTACTGCTTGTAATTGAGCCCCTGTGCTCCACATTGCTCTGTGTGCAGATGTGCCAGTTAATAAGCCCTAACAGTGTTTCTGTTCATGGAAAATGAATCTGAAACGATTGTCAGATTATCTATTTGGCATGCCTGCCTAGTGTCTGGAATGGCACTTTGCTAATGTGCTATTACTCAGTGTCATTAACCTAGAGATGTGATTGAAAGGTGAATTCATGTTTGCATTGTCCTGCTCAAAGGAGGTGGTGCTTCAGTAGTAATGAGCTTCCTGGGGAAGGATGCTGCATTGGGTAAAATGAGCCTTTCTTGTACTTGACACATACTTTATTATCCCTTTTGAAAACTGGGGTGGAACTAGGAATGCTATTTGTGTTAACATATTCTAGATCACTTCACATCCATGTACCTTATTCTAGCTTTAAGGTTTGCCCAATGTCCTCTGCTTCAAATCTTGGCTAGGCACTGGCAGTCAACAATGGCAATAGACCTGTAAGATCACTGAGATCATCTGGGGAACTTCTCCTTGTGGTACCCTACTCTGTAGAATATCATTGGGTGGGCCTTTTCTGCTTGTACAATGGATTTCCCTTCCCTCTGCCATATGTGAAGCAGCAACCATGCATTGCTTCAGATGTCTTGTAAAGATGGATCTTTTTGCCCTGACCCATAAGTTTGGACCCTGTTTTTATTTTTAATTCTCTGAGTTCCTGCTTTTATATGCTTTTATACTGTTTTATTGCTATATTTTTGTTCTAACTTTGTTCTATTTGTTGTTCAGCACTTGAAGATTTTTTTTTAAAAGTATTAAGTGACTTATAAATGCTTCTAAGTAAATAAATAAAATAATAAAATACACCATCCTTTTGCAACCTGATGCCACCCAGTTGTTTGGGATCTGTAGTCCAAAAAAACAGCTGGAGGGCACCAGGTTGGGTGAGAATACTATACTTACTCCATCCACACAGACAAGAGGCTTTCTCACAGCTGAGGTTCTCCAAGGTTCTCCAAGAGGGAATGGAGGACAGATGAGGGACCTGGCCTGGGGAGATGGGATATGATCTGGGAGAGTTCTGAAGACTGGATAGAAAGGTCTTGAGGCAGGAGCTGCATTCAGCCTGTGGGCCAGAGATTCTCCACAATTGGAGAATCACAATTGTCCTAAGGGGTTGAAAGAATTGTTTGATGAGGTCTAGACCTGCTCTGTTCTGTTACTTTTCTATAAGTAGCTGCAAAGCTAAACTTTTCTGGAAAGCGATAACTGCTAAGTAGGCTTGGTGGTGGTGGTGGTGCTGCTGCTGCTGATTTTATTGTACTGTGCTTAAATGTGGTGTGTGAAGGGTTGTATTTTTCATATGTGGTTTTTTTTAAAAAAAAGTTCATGTTTTATTCTGTTGGAACCCATTTTGATCTTTAAATAAACGAAGAGACTTGTTTCTTCAGTCATTGTTTGCAATGCTCTCTTAACCACTTAGCAGTATTCATATTAAGAATTGCTTTAGGAAGGTTGCCAACCAGTGACAAAGAAGCTAAGTCCATTTTGAGTAGAGGGAAGTATATGCCTATTTAATTTATAATGAAGTATCTAATTAATTCTGCTGCAAATTGTAAAGCAGAGTGAAACAAAACAAAGCAGCAAGACAGATCTTTTTTTAAAAAATAGGGTGAAAGGACTGATACAAGTTTTTAAATGTATAAATGGCTAAGTTTGAAAACACAATATAAAGGAGAAAGAGTAACACATAATGTTAGTTTCAGGAAAAGAATCCCAAATCCTATGCTTACACCAGCATTATCTGTCTCCAGCCACCAATTTCAAACAACCTTCTACAGGAATATATGATGGTTTGTGTTAAGGCTAGATGCATGAACATACCAAATGGAACTCCAATAAAACACTTGCCCGAATTATGACATTATACTGACCTTATAATGAACACTAAACTGGTGCAAGGAGGAAACAGAGTGGTAAAAGGTTTGGGGGGATATAAGCAAATCAGACACCAGGAATGCACGTGTTACAGTAGAGGACATTTGACACAATGTCAGAAAATGGCAGCATTAACAAATCATCTCAGTGGAAACAGCAGACATGTACATGTTGATCTTAAATGAGGGGTGTCACAGTAACAAATGACTTCTTGGAATCCTGGTGACAAGCTAGTGTGTCTTGGGTCAACATGTGGACCACCATATGACAAGCCAGGGAGAGGAATACATCACTGTGTTTTGCACTAGGTTTAGGGATATTTCTTAATGAAAAATCTCCTAAAATAGATATGTTTCTGATATTTTAATATATAATATTTTAATACATCCATATTACAATTGCAATTACTCATTAGATGAGAAGGAGAAATAGTTTGTGCCCAGAGTCATTGTTTATCCTTAAGGTTTAATTAGTTAGGAATGTGCATTCCCAGAGAATTGCATAGTACTCCAGTGGGACAAGGTTATTCCATGACCAGTTAACTTGCTAAACAGAATATTGATTTTGGCCATCAATTATGGTTGTTCCCAGACATCCTTACCTGTTGCTGCTTTTACTCACAGCCACAAGGTTTTATGAAGAACCGAAGGTTGATTAAGAAGAAAGGAGCTTACTAGATCACAACCAGCTTTTTACAGCTTTTTGCAGCTCCCTGTATTGTGGCACTGACATGCACGTTTGGACTGGTGCAAAGCAGTCAGAAGAGGCAGGGTCAGTTACTGACTGGACCGTCCTCATTTATGAAGAGCAGAATTAAAGACAGCTTTTCATTTTAAGACATTCAGCCCATGCTAAAACTGGGGGGGGGGGTACCCTGGGTGTAGTCTAGCAGTTTGCTACTCTGTCTCCAGCCCTTAGCTACTTTGATATTATTATTATTATTTGATTATTATTTATTAAATTTATATACCACCCTATATCTGCTGGTCTCAGATACTATCAGTCTTTCAGTTCTAGCAGAAATTTGGACTAAATATAGTCCAGAGGCCTTTTCTTGTTAACTTAAAGATGAGTACAAGTACTGTCAGGTATACTATTATGTAGGTTTTATACTGTTTTCATCAGATGCAGGAAGTTGACCTTCTGCATGCAAAACAGCTGCTCTGCCACTATGCTACAGTCCTTGGAAACATTTTGTTGATAGCTGCACTTGTTCTGTTTCTGTTACATAGTTTCACTGTGTTCTGTGTGGGTTTCCCCCACTGCCTTCCAAAGCGCTTTACTTTTTTGAGCTGTGTTTTATCAATGCACACATGCACTGCTGCCAATTTTAACCTGGAGAGGGGTGAACGACAGGAATAAACAGAAGGGCCTGGAGCATAAGCACATCAGTCTGGAAATCAAAACCAGAATAGCAGATTGCAAAATGCATCTGTGCCACCTTGCTAGCAACACTTGCAGGTAATTTGTAATACCAAAATCCAAGGAGAAATTGTGACTTGGAACAATTTTGCAAGCATCTCTATCCGGAAGCTCTACAAGGCTTTTCAAACTAATTCTGCTCATGGTTTATTCGATTGTAAGCTTGTAAGCTGTATGTAGCCAAGTAAGGGTTCTACCTCATCTTGCATATTCACTGTGATGCTATCAGCCTGTGGTAAATCATCCTTTGGGGAAAGTGAGGAAAGGCATATTGCTCCAAATGTTCCTGGGGCCTTCCATTCCTAACCCCTGACATCTCTGAACACTTAAGAAGCTTAGTGATTTCCTAGCATGAAAGCTGCTATTATAGTTTCTTGTGCTCTGAATGGCCTATTGGCATCTTTGCAAACCTAGTGCCCTCCAGTTGTTTTGAACTTCAACTCCCATTAGCCCCAGACAACACATATGGGTTAGGGCTGATAGGGATTGCAGTTCAAAACATTTTGAGGGCACCATGTTGGTGAAGACTGGCCCAATACATTTCCAAAAGTATTATACTCAAGTTTGATTTCATCTTCTGATTTATTGAGAGGGACAATCTTCCTTTCTTCAGAAGCAGTTCTTTTTTTGTTCAGATCTGCTTAAATTCTTAATAATGTAATCAAAAGTAGAAGGCTGGTTTATATAAAAAAGAACTTCACCCAGGAACAAACAGTGAAGAGGCAAGGAAAATATGATTCTTGCAGGAGGTCATGCAAAGAAATCATGTATCCCCAAAGCATACGGTGGGGTGGGTGGGATCTTTCACTAGCGAAATTCAGCATCTCTGACAATTCTGAAGTCAGATGGTTTGGCAAAATGCCACTCAGTGGGAGCTTCTCATTCCCTCTTGAAAAATACAGCTACACTTTACTTCACGGTTTGAAAGATCAGCTCCAGGGAGAGGAGCTGGGATTGATCCTTTCGTCTGCATGAGAAACCACCCATCACTCTGTCTCCTGAGTGCTCTTGGGCTTTGTAATGGTTCAACTTTAATTTTTTATTGTTTTTGTTAGCTTAACCTGCAGCTGACCCATACAGATTTCATTTGGAGCTGTGCCACTTAGTAGTAATGCATTTTCTGACACCCTGCAGAAACTGTGCTGCCATTTTTGTGGCTTCTGCCGTGGTTTTTTTTTTATTTAAAAAAACTGTACATGTCCTTGTGAAGAGCCTAGTTCTTTTCCATTATTTAATACCCCACTTACGGCATTTGAACTTCAGAACTTTTCAAGTCTGCTTCATTGCCCTGAGTTTGATAGCAGGTTGGCAAACCCAGAGGACAGGGATGGGGATGAAAAAAACAACATTGAGAACAAGAATTTTCATTAGAAATACATAACGCACAATACCCACCATGACAGTTTCATTTTAATAAACCTTCCCCACCCCCCTGAATCTCTCCATTCTCTCCTGCTTTTCCTTCTTCCCAGCCTATAGTTAAATGCCTATTGCTTCTCACTTTTGTCCCTCTCCTTTCTTCTGATGCTCACGTAGAAAACTAGCACATCAGATAAAGGCCTTGCTAATAGCACTTCTCCCTTGCATGGACTTGTTTATGGAGTGGAGTACTTTGGGAAGCGGAAAGGTAAATATTTGCAGCCTCAAATGATCCCATCCAAGAATGCCATGGCCATACGGCTTTTCTGAATTGGTCCTTTGGTTCTTACATATGATTAAGAGGTCCATCAAAATTTTATGTTATAATTTTTGATTTCTAGAGTACAGACGAGCAACATGGTCGAGCTCATTGTGCAGACCTTTTCTGGCCAGTCTACAGTCCTACAGTGCTGCCTGGGGTCAGGCAATATAAGTAATATTTTAAATCTCAGCTCAGTTGTGAATGTATGTGGATAATATTGGAGCATTACAGTAATGCTATTAGTACTGGCGTATTTGTAGGACTGCTAGGATAAAACTTTTTGTGTGCTTTGAAAAGCACTACAGTATATGAAAACTAAACATTGTGCCAGGTCAGTATGTTCTATAAAAAGCCACACAACTTACTTTAACATAATCCCTTTAGGACAAAGACGCCACTGTTTTTACCAGCACAGAGAAGGCATCTAAATTACGATTCTACCATCAGATCCACGTCAACTTGACCCTTCTACCTAACCTGGGGAATTGGTAGAGAAGGAGAAAAGAACAACATTGAGACCTCTGACAGTGTCAGTCATGCGATCACAGAGACTGGGAGAAACACAGAATAATCCCCCTGAGCTTTTTGGTGGTTACATTTACAAGTTAGTGTTTCTGTTTGATAGGGCTAAATAGCTCATTGATCTCACTTGCTGTTCTACCCCAGATTGTTTTTTGTGGGTCAACTAACAGGGGCAGTTTTCACTTTTGATTTACCACCCAGCTTTCTCAGCTGTCATATGGCTAAATTCCTTGTCCATTTCACTCTGAGATTTTAATCAATGAGATCTTTGCCCTATTAAAAGAGGAAGTCTCTTCATCATTTATTTCCCCAAATTTCACTTGTCTTCTATCAAGAAATCAATAGTGATCTTGCAAATGGGGTGTCAGGGAACTGCCATCAGTACTGGAGGGGGAGCGCAAAAGCCAGAGGGATTCCAGAGAGCGTCCAGGGATCGGGAGGAGCAGCCCATCTTCTGGGGAAGAGAATCAGCGTAGCACCAGTGGAAAAGGGGGGCAGGTGGGGGAAGTGGCGAGGCAGTCCCATGACTCCTTGCCTGGGACCAGCGGGGAGAGTAGGGGTCCTCCGTTGCCCACACCCTCCCTGCGCAGAAGGCTTTTGCACAGAGAGGATAGGCGGAGACTAGGCGTCAAAGAACTTCTTTGCTGGAAGAAGTTTAAGAAACGCTCACTCACGGATTCTGCCAGCGATTGAGTCAGCCACGGGTGAGTGGCTGTCCGGACAGAAGAGGTTCACTTTGGCAGCCCAGCCAGGTGTTTGCACCCAGCCAGGGAGATAGGCACCTGCTTACGCACGAGCAACCCCTAGAACCATTACATGGGGGTATCCAAATTGGGAGTGCCTGTTAAGATAGCTAAGGATCTAGGGGAGGCACTGTTGAGATGCCAAAACATCATCTTGGGTTTTCAGAACAACATTTCTATGATGTGATGATTCCATAAAGTTTCATACTTAGGCACCCTGTTTATACCAGAGGCCACCAATATGGCACCCATGAGTGTACAGTTGTACTTCGGTTCCCCAAAGCCCCAGAACTCGTATGTTTTGGCTCCCGAATGATCAAAAACCGTAAGTGAGTGTTCCGGTTTTCAAATGTTCTTTTGGAAGCCGAATGTCCAACGGGGCTTCCGCAGCTTCTGATTGGCTGCAGGAGCTTCCATTCTATTTCTCCTCCCTCCCAACCACTTAATATTCAATCAACATTTCATGACCACTGAGCATGTTTAGTTCTCATTTGACTGTTTTCAGTTTTTCCTCTCTTAAGATTCTTTCCACTCCTTTTTTCCCCTGTGCTTCTGAAAAATCCCACAGCAGTTAAATTAGCAGTACAATTTAAACACACACACACACACACACACACACACACAGTATATATACATTAAATGTGTATTAAGAGCAAATATTGTGGTTAGAACATGCCCCAGAATCTTCTGACATGCATATGGGTTCCATGGAGTTTCTTCAGCAGACAAATGAGTTTCCTTTTAAGTGTAAAGTGTAAAAATCACTGCCACATGTATTATTCACACAGTCTTTATGTATAGGGGTGCTTTCTTCAGTTTTTTCTTATATACTTCAAGTGCTATGCTATACCATCAGCTCACACAATGATAAGGCCTAGTGAACTACCTCATTGACCTGTATCAGCTGAGACTACCCCCAGACATCTCTGCATTGTGCATTGCAGGGGAAGATCAGGAGTGGTGGCAAAGGTTTCTTTTAAGGGAGCATGTTCACCATTCCTGATGCTCCCATTCTGAGGTTGCCCAGGGACCACAGTGTCTTCAGAAACACAGGTTGCTAATGTAGAAGTAAGGCTCATCCTCCTGAATAAGATTACCTGATTTAAACAGACCTTTATATATATATATATATATATATATATATATATATATATATATTTTCCATTTGAGAGTGTCCCAATTTTTTGATATGAGGGACAGGAGACTTTTATTTCCTCAAAAGGAGCCCTGATATTATGAAGTACATCCAATTCAGAACATGTGTGGAAGCAAAGGGGATTCCCTGCCTCCCGCTGCAAAGATGCCCAGATTCTGATTTAATTCACTATGCAATATTTTAAAATTTGAATTAGTGGGAATGAGGGTTGATGTTTTCCATAAATTGTTCCTTTATTTGCTCCCCTGTATGTAGAGAGAAAGAGAGAAAATGCAGCAGAATGTCTGTGGCTGATGTTTCAGAATGAAACAGAGAACAAAATTTCAGTTTGACCCTGGTACCGCAGCTGCTAAAACATTAATAGCATTAAATGCAGGTGAATCGGAAATGTGTGTGCAGGGCAAAGACTCCTCCAGGCAGTTTTCTTCTAGCTTGCTTGTTCCCTCCTTTGGTTGCCACAAGAGTAGAATCTCATCTGCTTCTCTTGCCCAAATGAAGAGTGACAGAGGTGATGAGGATCGTGGATATTGCAACAGCATTTCTTTGATAGCAGAAGCTGTCTGTCTGACAAGATTTAGCAGGCAATATGGGTTTTTCAGGAAATACAAAGCTACCTTTGAAACGTACAGAGAAACTCCAGGGAGAAATGTTTGTGCAATCTCAGGCTGATGCATGCATCTCTCTCTCTCTGTGTGTGTGTGTGTGTGTGTATGTGCGTGTGTATTTTTATGTAATTTCGTGAAGTACCGGTACCTATAACACTGGGGAACAATTTTTTTTTTTCATTTTCTGTTGCATGAGATTTTTCAACTGTTCTTATATGTTTTTTCAATGTTGATTTCAAATCTGAAATCGATTTTCGTGTACATGGTATAGTTAATGCTCTTGTTCATTTAAATAAATATATTTTGAAATCAAGAACGAGATTTTAATAAGGAGATGTTTCCTAATGATCTTGGAATTTGAAAATAACAGATTCTTCTTAACCTTTGGAGATGTAATTGATGCAAAAGAAGCATTATGACCCCAAATTGTTCTTTAATATAGACTTATTCAGTTTCTGCCAAGCTTCCATTCCTACAGCTGGAAGGTTCATGTGGATATTAAGATCCTGTGTTCGATCTGTATCAAGATAGTTGTATTTTGTTCCCATTGAAGTCAATCAGACTTAAGTCATTACAAACTCATCCCATTGATTTAAATGGCTTCAATTAACCTTGTTTGGATCCAACTTATTAAAGTTAAAGGAATATTTGTTTGGTTCAACTGTGTGTTTTTACAGACAATTTACTTATTTTGAAGGGCTTATTTTGGCATGCTCAACCAAGTTTCTTGAGCATAGGCTTTTATATAAGAACAAATCCATTTATCCCTCTATGTAGAGTCTTCAGCTGTAGGGTTCACTCTAAAGTACTAGAGGGCTTTTTCTCCTTTCTTAACAGTGATTGACGAATTTTCAGAAAGTTTAAAATTGGTTTATTGAAAGGTTTACTGGAGGCAGAGATGCCTTATGGCTCTGACTTAAGCCGGGCTTTGGGAAGGAAGCACGAAGCTCTGGCAGTGTCCTAGAGCCTTCCTACCTCCTTCTCAAGGCCTGGTAAATGCTTGCCCAGCTTGGAGAAAGAGGCAGGAGGACTCTAGAAACCCATCAGAGCTCTCATGCATCCTTCTCAAAGCCAGTGAAACACTTATCATGCTTTGAGAAGGTGCCCTCTTTGGCTGCGCAGCCGATGTGACCGCACCGTTCGCACTGCCCTAAATTCACCTCTGCTCTACAATGCACAGTGTGGAAACTGAGAGAGATTCCCCCCCCCTCCCTTTCTCAGATGAGTAACTCAAGTAGCCCAATGAATTTGGTAGTAGATTCAGAACACTCAAGACAAGAGGAAGTATTTCTTCACATAGAATGGAGGATTTGCCACAATGTGGTCAGTAGCTTAGACGGCGTTACAAAAAGGAATTAAGTAATTTTACAGAGCCTAGGCCTCTCTATGAATAGCTGTTAGCTTTGGTACCTCCATGTTCAAAAGCAGTATGGGGTTGATTGCCAGGGGAAAAAACATAACAAGGGTGGGCAACCTTTGCTGTGTTCACAGTCACATACTGATGCTGGATGAAGCAGAGCCTGAAATGGGTGGGGCTTCTCTCTTTTCCCTATCTTCTGCTACCCACTCCCCACTCTCATTTTCCCACTCCCTTTGTCACCTTGGCATGGGCCAATGGCCCCATGTGGAGATGTTGCAGTTTTGTGTGCACAGCTCATGTTCTGTCACTGAACTATGGCCCTTCCCTACTTCACATAAACTGGAATATTTGTGCCAGTAGGAAATGAATGGTGAATGTGTTGGGATCAATGTGAAAGATGTGCACTCCAATAAAAAGTCTTAAATCCTGCAACAGGAAACTCCATCCAGTTATTACTAAGGCTTTGATCCTATGTATACATACCTGGGACCAAGTTTCACTGAGCACAGTGGGTCTTAAGCTACTGAGTAAACATGTAGGGTATTGCTCTAAAAGTGTAATGCCACCCAGTGACTAAGCAATATAATTGACACACTCTGAACAAATTCAAGGTCTGAATAACTCATTGGCCTCCAAACAACCTTGAAAAAAATTACCTTGCATCATTAGGAATTCATAGAAATTATTATTTTCTTTTTTTCAAGAAGACTTGCCCATGCAGAACAAGTGCTTGTTGAAAATGCAGCAGGTGTCATCCAACCTAGTGAACTTTCAAAATTGTAATTCTGCAGGGAGCTAATTGCACCCACCTTTAAAACATGGATCGAGTACAGTAATTTGACTTTCTAAAATAATATATTGAAATTCATGAACCATGAAACATATATATCATCGGAACTTTGACAGGTATTACATTTCAGTACTGCATGTTAACGGATGGGCAGACTTGAAGGGAGAAAAGCAAACAAAGGCTTTGCTTCCCAATATAGCAACTGTCAGTCTTTACTGTAATACCGCTCACAAGTAGTGTAATTGGCGAATATATGAAATCTCATGCAAGGAGAGCAGGAAAACCACACTTGGTCATATTACAACAGAATATTGTAATACAGTGGTACCTCCGGTTGCGGATGGGATCCATTCTGGAGCTCCTGTCAGATCCCGAGGTTTCCGCAACCGGAGGGACCGCTTCTGTGCATGTGCATGGAGCGAAACACCTCTGGGTTTGCTGCTTTCACAACCTGAAGTTTACGTTACCCGAGGGTAACATAAGCCAAGGTGCTACTGTATCTCCTATCAATACAATTTTGTGATCCTGCCCCTCGCATCTTCCCTTAGCTGAGGAGGCTGAAATCTCCTTGATAAATTCTAAGTACAAATAGGCATCATGCCATAGTCATGCAACTGTTGTGGGGCACAGAGAGAATAATTTAGAGGCAGAAAAATACAAAATAGATTCAGAGCAAGCCTACTTTGTCTTGCATAGGCAAGTTGTTAGAAACAGTACTCTGCAGTGGGGAGATTTCAAGAATGGACAAGTCATTTTCAGAGATCACATGTCCGCTTTAATGCTCTGACCAGCTAGCAAATGGGGTGTCATGAAAGATGAATGCACTAGTCTTTTAAGAACTCACTTGCCTCTATATTGTAGTGTGGGTGATGCACAGGTTCAATGGGCAATGCTAGGCAAAGGGCCAGACAGCCGAATTTTTGTTTGTGTAAGCAATCACTTAAAAGGAATACAAAAAGCATTTTAATTTTTCAATTGTTTCTTCATCACCATTACATGGCAACAGATGCTGACAGCCTTGATTAATAGTTTTTCAGCCCTTGCTTTTTTGTCTTGTTATAAGGGTTTAATTTGCAAGCATTATATCGCTAGGATGAAATGAACAGGTAACAAAAAGTACAAGGGGGAGAGAGAGAGAGAGAGAGAGAGAGAGAGAGAGAGATGGTTTAACGAAAGCAATTTGAAAATACTGCTTCAGGGCAAACATTCAAATCTGTACCCAAATTGAGCACAAAAATGAAAATAAAGCAGCATTGTAGGGTGTGTGTTTTCAATGTATCCCTTTCATCTTTCCAACAGTTCTAAACATCCTGAATATTTGGACAATCACATTTATGTTGTGTTTATATTATTTCATTTGGTGCTTTAAAAAAAACCCCTCTTGGAACAGGGGTCTTTAATAGCACA